ACTTTTTAACAAAAAAAAAGGCATCCATCCATCCATCCAGCAATCCAAAGCAAATCTAATATATTTCGATACGTAAAATACATATTTACCTTTTTTTTTTTTTTTTTTTTTTTTTTTTTTTTTTTTTTTTTTTTTTTTTTTTTTTTTTTTTTTTTTTTTGTTATCGCTGGGGAAACCCATCATGGGGACCCTACCGGCCGTCAATGGGTAGGGTACTGTGAGACTCCTACTCACTAAAACCCACAGCGGAACCCGTCGCCGCAGTGCAATGGGGTGTGCAGGATCGCTTGCGCATTCACTGCAACACCCCTGCGGACGGCCCGTACCCCGCGGGCCTGCCTCGCCTAAATCAGGATGCCCTCGGTTCGCAGGGCATCCCAACCGCCCCGATGACGTGCAGGGGAGTCAACGAGAGACCCCCCCGCAGTAGCTCCTCTAGGGTGGCGGGAGAAGATGCGCGTACCGGCGCCTCCTCTCCCCCAGCCGACGGCGACGAAGAGGGTCTGCTAAGGCGTTAGCCTCGCGTTCCCTCTCCGCCGTCTCCTTCAGTGAGATGACGGCCTCGCTGAAGGAGACCATCGCCGACCAGGACCTCTCGTCGCGTAGCATGGCCCCCACCACGCTTCGCAACGACAGGTCTCCACCCACTACCGCCATCAGGGCATGGCGCTGGGGAGCCCAAGCGGCGCATACCGCGAGGGTGTGGTGCGAGGTGTCCTCGGACGCACCACACTCGTGGCATACGGGCAACGGTTCCCGACGCGCAATTTGACACAGATACTTACCAAAGCACCCGTGCCCGGTAAGCATCTGCGTCAACCTGAACGTCAGGACGCCGTGTGGCCGCCTGACCCAGCGAGACAGGAACGGACGAACCGCCCCCACCGTCGCCCGGCCAGCCGCTGGAGTCCCCAGGTCTTCCCACCAGCGCCGGATCAGTGCCTCGTCAGCTAGGCGCCTGATCCGAGCGACTCCCTCCCGCGCTGGACGTTCCCCTCGCGCCCGCTCACTCGCCCGAAACCGATAGACTTCGGCGAGCACCTCCGCCTGGAGTTCCCAGGGCGGATCGCCCGCCAGAAGTGTCGCCGCCGTGAAGGACACCGTACGGTATCCCCGTATCGCCCTCACCGCCAGGACCCGTTGCGCCTTGCGCAGTTGGGCCCTGTTCTGTGCGGAGAGGGCGTCCATCCAAACGGGGGCACCGTACAGTGCCATGGACCTCACGATGCCGGCATAGAGCCGCCGGCAGTGAGATCCAGGGCCCCCGACATTCGGCAGAAGTCTGCCGAGGGCCGAGGCGGCGCCGATCAGTCTCGGGGTGAGCTGGGCGAAATGGACACGAAACGTCCAGCGTCCGTCCAGGGTCAGGCCCAAGTAGCGCATATGGGCCCGAACCTCCACCATCCTACCCTGGACTCGCAGACAGGCGTTGCGGGGGGCACCCCTGCGTGGGCCATGAAACAGGAGGGCCTCCGTTTTGGAGACGGAGACCCTCAGGCCCAGCATCCCTATCCGGTCGGCGACCAGGTTGGTGCCGACTGTGGCCAAGCGTGCCGCCTCCTCGTAAGAACGCCCCCGGGCTGTGACGAGGGTGTCATCAGCGTAGGCGATGACACCAAGCCCGGGGAGAAGCGGACAACGCAGGAGCCAGTCATAGCCGAGGTTCCACAGTACCGGGCCCAAAACGGCCCCTTGTGGAACCCCGCAGTCGACACGTCGACGACCGACCACCCCATCTGCCCCCGTCCACACAACCTGTCTGTCGCGGAGGTACGCGTCCAACACCCGCCGGAGATAGAGAGGCACCCCATGGTACCGAAGTGCCTCTCGTAGCGTCTCGAACGGCAGGGTGTTGAAGGCGTTGGCCACATCCAATGAGACGGCTAACAGCACGCCTCCCTCCTCCACCGCGGCCAAGGACCGAACCTTCAGGGCGTTCAGGGCGTCCACGGTCGACCGACCCGCCCTGAACCCGAACTGAGCCTCCGAAAGGCCCGGCCCCACCTCCTCGAGATGCTGAGTAAGACGGGCAACGAGAATTCTCTCGAAGAGCTTGCCCATCTCACTCAGCATCACGATCGGCCTGTATGCCGAAGGGGAGTCCAGAGGACGACCCTCCTTGGGCAACAGGCACAGCAACCCCTCCTTCCAGATCTTCGGGAACTGCCCAACGCGAAGACAAGCGTTGAAGAGGTCCCGAAGATCCCCTCCCAGGTATTCCAGGGCGATGCACAGAACTCGCCCCGGAATACCGTCCGGTCCCGGAGCCGTCCGTTTGGCCCGCAGTTTATCGCGGGCCAATTCCATCTCCCCCTCGGTGATTGGGGGGAATTCCTCCACTCCCACAGAGCGTGTGGGAGGAGCCATCACCGGGGGGACGTGCCCAGACGACTCCGGGAACAACCCTCCGATCAGTCGCAAGAGGACCTCGGGCGGCGTGGTCTCCGTGACCGGGGCGCCATGCGCGCGGAGCTTGTTCCGCGCGCTGATGTAAGGGCGCCCCCATGGATCCCGATCCAGGCCCGCCAGCATTTCCTGGCGGGCCGCCGCCTTGGCCTGGCTGATGGCGAGTTGCAGGGCCTTTTTGGCTGACCTGTAGGCCGCCCGCAGCTCGCTCTCCAAAACCGGGTCCAGGCCATTCCTCCTGCGACACCGGACAAACCTCCGTCTATGCCAATTACAGGTCGCCCGAAGCTGTGCGATTTCGGGCGACCACCAATACACAGACCGGCGACGCCGGTCGATCCGCCTGATCCGCGGCATGGCCGCATTGCACACCCTCGTAAGGGCGTCGCACATGCGGCCAGCCAGCTCCTCAACATTGGAGCTGGCGCCCACCACACTCCCCTGGGAGCACCATGCTTCTACGATGGCCGCCTCCTTGGCCAGCTCAGTATCAAGCCGGCCCAGGGCCCATCTCGGGAACGCTCGAGAGGGCCCCCTTGGGCGGTCCACCGGCACCGGACGGGTGGAGATCTCAAATCGGATATAATTATGATCCGACAGAGTCTCCACCTCCTCCTCTACCCTCCAGTTGATCACCCTGCGTGCGACGGCGGGGGTGGCGAACGTTAGGTCCACCACGGACCCCCCCTGCTGTCGCACGCACGTGAACGCTGTCCCCACATTGAGTAGGGACAGACCGGAGAGTAGGGCCCACGTCTGAACGGCTCGCCCTCGAGCGTTCGACGTGGGATTCCCCCAGGCCAAGGACTTGGCATTAAAGTCGCCGAGGACGATAGTGGGCCTCGGCGACTGCCTGCAAACCGCAGCGCGGACGGAGTCGAGGAAGATCTCGAACTCCGCCAGACTGCGGTTGGGGGAGAAGTACACGGCGACCACCGCGGACTCTCCCCACCCTGCCACGACAAATCCTTGGCCCCTCTCGATTGCCGAGAGACGGGGGCCGGTGCTGCTCCCAGACACTATGGCCACGGAGCCCTCTAAGTCCCCCACCCAGTTCGGTTGGTGAGGAACAAAGTAGGGCTCACAGGCCACCGCCAGACCTATCTCCCACTCGGCCATGGACTGCAGGAAAAGGTCCTGCGCTCCGGCCGAGTGGTTCAGATTCCCTTGTAGGAAGCGCTTGTCGTCACCCATTATGACGACATATGCGCTTCCTCAGCCTGGCGGCTTCCGGCACTGACGACGGCTCCGGTCCCTAGAGCCGTCTTGCCTTTCGTGATGGGTGGGTTGCAGTCTCGCCCACCCATCATATGCCCAGAGGGGCGCCCGGCATCTGCGCAGACCGCGCAGCGGACTGCCTTCGCGGTGCAGGCAGCGGAATGGTGCTCATCGCTGCCGCACCGGAAACACAGGCGCCCCCGCTCCACCCTCGACGGGCACCGAGGTAGAGTATGACCCAAACCCATGCATCTGAAGCAGCGTAATGGGCGCTGCTCCAGAACCTCGACCTTGGCCGACGACCACCCGACCAGGAGTCGGCTTGCGTCGGCCACTTTTTTAGCTGCCGTAACTGGGCACCTTACGACAGCCGTGCCCATCCCCCCTTTCCCGGTGTGGACCCGGCTCACCCAGACGGCCTCTGATGAGCAGCCGCCCGCCCTTGCGACCGCCTCGGCCACCGCCTCCTTGGTGACCGAGTCGTCGAGGCCCCACACCCTCAACTCTCCCGTTTTGGTGGGGCGCGCAATGGTCGCCACCCCATCCAAAACCTGGCGGAGCTTCTCCGCCAGCCTGTCCGCTGTCTCCGGTGACGCCGAGGCTTCGAGCTCCAGCAAACGTGCCCCCGTTGCCGCAACCCTGACCGTCAGCCCCCCCGTGACTCCCAACTGGGCCAGGTCAACGCCCTGCCGCGCGCGCTCCAGCAGCTTGGCGTAGGTGACGCCCTTAGCCGCCGCCTCCTGCTGGAGCGTTATAATAACCGCCGCTGTACGCGGCGGGGCCGAAACCTTGGGCTTAGCCGGCGCCGAAGGGGCCTTTTGCACCACAGGCGCCTTTGGGCCCGAAGAGGCCTTTGGCGCCGACTTTGCGCCAGCCGGGGCAGCCGGGGCCGCAGGGGGGGAGGACTTCTTCCCCTTTCCCTTGCCCTTGCGGACCACCGTCGCCCACGTGTCATCACCGGCAGTACTCGGTCCTGCCACAGGGGCCGGAGGAGCTGGTCCCGCCACAGGGGCTGGTGGAGCTGGCTCCGACCTAGGGCGCACCGGGGCTGCCGTCCCATCCACATTGGGCTGACGCCTGCGCGTCGCCGAACCCTCACCCGCCACAGCCGCTACCGGTGCTGGCGTGCTCTGAGGCACCCTCGGCGCAGGCTTAGGTGCAGATGCACCTGCCTCCTTTCTTCTGTCCGCTGCCAGAGGCGGACGATGCGACCTGGCCGGCAGCAGGCGTTCCTCAATGCCGGCCAGTTTGGCATCCATGAGGGCCCCAACCGAGGAGATAAGAGAGGCCCTCAACTCCTCTAAAACATCCCCCTGCAGGGAGGAGGACGGCGCACTCGCCCTCATCTCCGAGAACTGTCGACGGTGCGCCTTAACCTCCGCCTTCAGGTTCTCCACCTCCTTGCGCAGCCGCTCATTGTCGGCAGCCACCTTCCTCGTCTCCTCATTCGAGGAGCGATCCGCCAGGGCGTCCACTATCCCCGTCAGGGCCTCAGCAGCCAGCTTCAGACGGCGGACATATTCCCCCTTCAGGTTGCCAGAGGTCCTGGCAACATGGAGAATCTCCGTCACGCTGCGTCCTGCTTCCGCTCTCAGACCCTGCACATCTCTAGCAGAGATGCCTTCTTTCCGGCTCTCAGAGGCCGACAAATCCGAGCCGAACTCGAAAACGGCCTTCCCCGCCTTATCCGCCTTTTCAGGCTTCTTCCGAAAAGCGCGCGCCTCAAGCGCGCGCTCAAACTCCCGCTCTCTGGCCTCAGCCTCCATATTGCGCAATTGTGCGCGCGCACGGGTCAAGACCGTCCCCCTCCCAGATCCAATGGGCCTCCCCCTTCGCGCCTTATTTTCCTTCGCGCGTACTCGCTCGTCGGTCTCCGTTTCCGAGCCTGTAGAGCCCGCTAACGGAGGACGCGCAGCCGTTCTCTTGCGCCTAATGGACGCATCTGTGTCCGCGCTGGCGTCTGAGTCAGCCATGACTCATTCGCCAACCGCACACACTCGCACACACACAAACGACGCGACAAATGTCGCCAAAAACAACAAAAATCCAAACCAAATCAAAAAATCCAAAAATCCGTGAGAAAAGCCAAAAGTCAAAACATGTAGTGCAAGAATCGAAGTCCAATAGTCAAAGCCAATCAAAAAACAATCCCAGATAATACATAGCCTTCCTCAATAAATAATCCAGCATCAACCAAAATACATATTTACCTATTAGATATTCATATTTTAAAATATTGTTGGCTGGCAAGAAGTGGAATGCCCTGCCTGCGTCTGTTTTTCCGAGTGCGTATAACTTGAATATATTTAAGGTGAAGGTGCGTGTTAACAGGCTCCTCCTGGGCAAACTCGCTAGATCGTAGACCTTCGTTCCTGCCTTCGAGCTAAGATGAAGGTCAAGAGTGAGCCCATTTCTAATTAAAAAAAAGAATCCGATGAATTGAGAACCTCCTCCTTTTTGGAATTGGAAGTCGGTTAAAAAAAAGTAGGTATTGGTAATGGCACTTATTAGATCTACTAGTGAAAGAAATTCCGGAATCCACTCATTCGTCACCATAATACTTTTTTGTTCAAAGTTTCAAACGACCAGCACTTGTTGTACTTTACAGTAAAGAGTTTCTTTTATTTTTAAAACAAAGCTCTATTTCTAATCTCTATATGTATACATTCATAGATGAATTAATATCATTTTATTAGCTTTATTAAAGTAAAATGTGTATTCAATACCAAAAGATTTAACATTTAAAAGTTAATAATTCTGTAATAAAATTGTTTTTGGTAAATTGATCGTTTGAACAAATAAACAATAAGGCGGCGCATTACTCTTTTATCGGAACACCAGACGTACTGCAGGATACCATCCTTTCTTGGTTGACATTCCGACCACTCGCACTAAGCGCTATTCATCATCTTTTATATTGCGCACAGCCAAGAAATGGAATGCCCTGCCTGCGTCTGTTTTTCCGAGAGCGTACAACTTGAAACTTTTTAAGGTGCGTGTCAACAGGCTTCTCCTGGGCAAACTCGGTACATCATAGACCTTATCTATACATTTAAAGTAAGATGAAGGTCAAGAGTGAGCCTATTTTTAATAAAAAAAAAAAAAAAAAAAAAAATACTTCCAGAACTTGCATAGAAGCATATTGTAAGCGATATAGTGAGATTATGACATTACGTTTTATTCCAGAGTTTCAAGCGTCCACTCGGCATGATCTATCCTCAATGCACAAAACTCAACATATTAAGTATATATATATTTTCAAAAAGATGACATAATATAGCATTCGGACAAATCCGATGGATGGATGGATGCGTCTACTGCAGTCTTTAAAATAGATACCATAAAGTGTAGACCGTCACCTTAGGATGAAGTAGATCTGTCCTATAACCTATTCGTCTATGACAAAACATGGAAAAACAGATTGTAAAATACGTAAAAAATTTGAATTTTAAACTCAATTTTTAGAAAATATTTATAACTTAAGCTCAGACCAATAAAAAAGTAAATTTCTCAGAAATGAGATATTTTTTCGCAGTAAAAAGTATCCTTATAAATCCTGATAAAATTACCTAAAATAGTTCTAATCATACCATAATATATCAAAATCTGACCAGTAGGTTTGTTCTTGATGCGTTCTCACTTTTCAGACACACAGACATCAAACAAAAATTCTAAAAACGTTCGCACTTCGCGGACTTATTTGTCATCCATGCATTACGCAGAACCTGCGTCTTTATTATGTGTTCCGTTCGACATCCGAAGTCCAATTATGAGAGTACATCAACCTTTTCCGTCGCTTTCCGCTAGATTACTTCCTCTTCCGTTACAATTTGTGCTTTTAGCGCCAGCCGTGGCCAAAACTGAAACTAACTTTTGCAACCTGTGTAAGGCAAGCCGCCATTTCTAAAATCATTGTTGCGTCATTTTTTGAGTTGCACGCATCGCTAGATTTATTAGAAAACTTGTTTAAGAAAAACGACCGTTGTGTTATATTAGAGTTTTCAAAAGTAGAAATATTGTTTAAACTTTCGAGATTAAAGTAGAAAGTTACAGTTTTATTCCGTTACGTTAAAGTATTGTGTTTTAAATCGTAAAATGGACAACAGTGAGAAAAATACCGAGCCAGTGATCAATAATAATGTGGACGTTTTTGGTGATTGTGATTCGAATCGGTTGGAGAAAAATACTCACACGCCTTCAAGTGAATCATCGGATTCGAATTCAAGTTCGAGCGAGGAAGATGAACCGCCGCCAAAGCGACGACGTCATAGTCGGTCTTCCGATTCATGTCAAGAAATCGATCGCAGGTTTGATCAGTTATCGCAGCAGTTGGTGAGTCATATAAATAATTTATTTTGTGTCAATTACGCTACGATGCATCCGATATCCACGAACTCCTCGTTTCCTATGGCGGCTGCTTCGACAGCAGTAAAAAATTCGCTCGATGACCCGTTTTTAAGGCCAGTAGGTGAATTAAAAGATATTGCCGAGCTAAATGTGTCTGTCAAGGAACCAACTATGCCAAAGGCAAATCCTGATCGGGTTGCAAAAATAGCGTCAATGCAAAGATTTGATTCTCTGGATTGGAATTCTGTTCGGTACACCGAGGTGCAAAAGAAATATGTAGCATTCCCGGCATTTTCTGAGCTAAAAGTAAATGAGGAATTGAGGCGTTTAGAAGATCCTTTTGCTCCGCTCAGATGGTATCAGATGGAACGCAGTTTTGCTGCCTTGTCTAATGCCTTTTTAGCTCAAAATGAATGTGTTAATATTGCATTAAAACATTTAATAGACTGGGCCGCGAAACCTGATGCGCAATTAACTTCAAATTTAATTTATGATAAATTAAAAGAGTTATTTGGAAACGAATCTAATTATAAGGCTGTATCTCACGACATTTTACAATTAATTTGTGGAAAACGTGCAGAGGTATTAGAACTACGGCGTAAAGCTTTGCTTAAAGGTTTAAAGGGAAAGTATATACGGGAAGATATCGATAAAATACCTCCTTCGATAGAATATATGTTTAATCCTCAAAGTTTATCGGCTTATATACAAAAAATAGGCGGATTAGACAAATTAGATAAAGATATAGGACCTCAACTGAAACCTGTGAGACATTCTAAATTACCAGTGACTTCTAAATCACCGATTGCTTCTACATCTCGGGAAAAACCCTCCTTTCGTTTTCAACAAGTCAAACCAAAGCAAAGGAAAAATAAGAGACAAAATTTTGACGAGCAAGTTAAAAGGGGAAGGGGGGGCCAAAAGGATGAAGCTAACAGGAGTAGGCGCAAATGACTCGAGGTTTGTGGGCGGCTGTCTGATGTTTTATCAAGAGGTGTGGGCCAAGTTTCGGCCACCCAAAACTATTCTCAAATTAATTTCTGCCGCCCGTATTCCATTCAATCAGACGCCTCCTCTAATCTTTCCATCGCTGGATGTCATGGAAAGATTTCAAACACAGAGTTCCTTGATAATGTCTTCAGAGATAGAAACCATGATTCAAGATCGGATTCTCGAAGCAGCCCCTTTAAGTCCGTCATTCATATCCCCGCTTTTCATTATAACAAAGAGCAATGGAAAGAATCGGGTTATCTTCAACCTCAAGGCATTAAATCAATTTATACAACCAAGGCATTTCCATCTGTTTCATCATCACAAAATGCCAACATTTCTACAAGCAGGCGACTGGATGGTGAAGCTGGATATAAAACAGGCCTATTACCATTTACGAATTTCTCAAAGACATCGTTGTTTTCTACGCCTAAGTTACGAAGGTCGGCTGCTGCAGATGACATGTCTTCCATTCGGCCTTGCTGCAGCTCCGAGAATGTTTGCATCAGTTACAAATTGGACTGCCGAGATATTACGCAGCAAGGGTCTTCGCCTAATTGTCTACCTAGACGATTTTTTAATAGTCCACCAAAGCAAAGCAACATTAAGATTACATGTTCATATTGCCTTAAAGTTTCTCACCTCCCTAGGTTGGAATATCAACGTGGAAAAATCTATTCTGAGGCCAACGAGGCGTTTAGAATTCCTAGGAATTATCTGGGATACGCAATACAACTCCAAGAATTTGCCCCCAGAAAAGGTAGCCAAGATTCGTCAGTGCTTATGGGCTCGCTTGACAGCAGGCAGTTGGACCCTCAAGCAGGCGCAACGCCTCTTAGGGTATCTCAATTTTGCGACCTTCATCACCCCTCGGGGAAGGTTGCATTGCCGAGTGCTTCAGCGCCACAGCAATTGTTTACAGAAAAATTCTCGCCGGCCGATCCCGTTCGCAGACGAAGTGCGCGGGGAATTAAAGTGGTGGTTGGCAAATATCGACCAGAAGTCTCATATTCACCCAAGGAACTTACCTGTCAATTACCTCGTCACCGACGCCTCGGACATTCAATGGGGGGCACTAGTAAACAACAAAGTAATAAAAGGTTGCTGGAGTCAACATCAGCTGAAGTGGCACTGCAACTTGAAAGAAATGTATGCTGTGATAGCAGCCATATCTCTGGAGGCAAAGGCTCTAAGAAATTCAACAATAATGTTACAGAGCGACAACAAGACAGTTGTGTCGTATATAAAAAATCAAGGAGGAACCAAGTCGAGGAATCTCTTGACATTGACAAATCAGCTCCTAGCACTAACGGACAGCCTGAATGTTGTACTAATTCCTCACCACCTTCCGGGACTGTACAACACGGAAGCCGATCAGATCTCTCGGAATCGAATCGGTACCGAGTGGCACCTGCTAGACGAGGCAACCAACAAGATATTCGGCCGGTGGGGAACTCCAGATATCGATCTGTTCGCCTCGCGAAAGGCTCACGTAGTGTCAGATTATGCTACTCTAGACTTGTTAGACTCGAGCGCCTGCTTTCACGACGCTTTCAGCAGATGCTGGAGCTACGACCTCGCCTGGATATTTCCTCCACCAGCTGTACTTCCGCGGGTGTTACGGCATCTCAACTCCGCAAAGGGAAGGTTCATAATTGTTGCACCCAAGTGGAAGAAACCCTTTTGGAGGCCGGACTTGAAGAGCCGCGCCCTAGCTCGTCCAATGAAAATCAGGAATCTGAGAACAACATTAGTGGACACAGTGACGGGGCGTCCTCCAGCTCAAGTTCACAACCTACAGTTGGAAGCTTGGCTCATTTCGGCTGGGACTCTCTAACACAGGACTGGTCCGCTGAGGAAAAGCAACTTTTGTCAAGATGTTGGAGAGCATCCACACTTAAAACTTATACACCAATATGGAACAAGTGGTTTCTATGGTGTAAGCAAAATAAAGTGGACTATCGTCGTCCTGCACCTGCCAGTGTAGCCAGGTACTTAGCTAAACTTTTTCTTAAAGATAGTTTATCATACCGTACCATTCTGGTACATAAGTCAGTTATAGCTTCAGTCTGTGAAACTTTATCGGATATAAAGATTACATCAAATCATTTAGTTAAACATATTTTAAAGGCCGTGTCATTAGCTAGACCGGCTCCACCGAAATTGCAAATATGGGATGCAAGAATAGTAATAAATTTTTTGAAAAATACAAATCCTAACTTAGATAGTTTGTATGATGTTTCTAGGCGAACAGCGATTATATTGTTATTGGCTTCGGGTCGTAGAATACACGACTTAACTCTCCTGCATTGTGATCCAGAACATTTTGTTGACAGTGGGGATTCAATTATCTTGCATCCTATATTTGGCTCGAAAACTGATACGGCAACTTATAAACAATCAAGTTGGAAGTTACTGGCTTCGCCTGATAGAAATACTGACCCCTTGTTTTGGTTAAGATCATTGATACGCATTTCGGAAAATGTTCGAAGTAATTTGACCAATTTATTCATAAACACAAGAGTTCCTAGTAAACCAGCTAGTCCTGTAATCATTGGGGGTTGGATAAGACGTATCCTTTCTGAAGCTGGGATAGAGGCTACGCCAGGTAGTGTTAGGTCAGCTGTGTCATCTCTTAATTGTTTAGAGAAGTACCCAGTTAACGAGATTTTAGCTAAGGCAAATTGGCGCCATGAAAATACCTTTCGAAAATATTATTATAGAGAGATTAAAAGTAAAGATCATAATAGTAATGTTGATTCAAAACTCAAGATAAGAGATAGAGTCAAATTAATCATATTTTTAGTCATTTCAGTCCTAAGTTTAAATATTTGTTTAAATATGTAGATTAACTTATAATTATATAGAATGCTCTGAATTACTCAAAATGCATAATCTTGAATCCTTGATTGGTTAATTTTATTAATAAAATTTTAAATAATGCCAATTGTATGTTTTTTTTTATAATCACATTGTTGCGTTCTATTTAGCAAGCCACCAGGAGATAACAAACAGATCTCTCATAATTGGACTTCGGATGTCGAACGGAACACATAATATAGAAATTTTACCTGAAAATAAAATTTGTATTATGTTTCCTAAGACATCCGAAGTCCAAATAATGCCTTCCTGGTGTTTATCAGCATCATTTTCATTATGAACCGAACAATGATTTTAGAAATGGCGGCTTGCCTTACACAGGTTGCAAAAGTTAGTTTCAGTTTTGGCCACGGCTGGCGCTAAAAGCACAAATTGTAACGGAAGAGGAAGTAATCTAGCGGAAAGCGACGGAAAAGGTTGATGTACTCTCATAATTGGACTTCGGATGTCTTAGGAAACATAATACAAATTTTATTTTCAGGTAAAATTTCTATATTATTGACTATTTCAATATGATTTTCCGAACATTAAACATATGTACTTATACAGATACACTGACGTGACATTCTATTAACTAATGTTGCATAAAACTTACTTTCTAAATTTATTCACTTTTCTGTATATTTATTGGTAGGAAGTGAGGTGACCAAATAATAGATTCATGTATTATTTCAAATGTATAAAATTTATAAATTATAATTTATAAGACCTATTACCTTCCTGTTTATTCCCAATGAGTTCTTAAACTAAAAGTTCTAAAATTACTATTTAGTTCTGTGAGTTCAACGATAGAGTTAAGTAATTCGATACACAGTTTATTACAACAATTACTTGAAAGTGCAAGTGTCATTTAAAGTTATGGAGTCTCTTAAGGAATATGTAACAGAGGATGATTTGAAAGAATATTTTCCGGATCTACCAAGTGGACCTCTAGATGTGTACAGAAAAAAAGCTTCATTTAGTTGGAGACGAATGAAGCTCGTATATGATACTTTGTCTACAATTAAAATTAAAGTAGGTATTTGATTTCCAAGGTTTTTAAAATACCTTTCAAATAATTTTAATGTTTTATTTAATTTTAAAATTTTGTTGAATTTAAAAAAAAAACATTTATTATTAAATATAAACATAATTTATATAATATTTTAAACACGTATTTTTACTGAATATTTAAAAGTAAATTAAATTAAAGTAACCGGTTTTTTTTTTAATTATTAATATTTTATTTAGCATAACATTTGGAAATTCATGGAAGACCATCCACTATTCCATCACTCTGATACATCCATTCCTTTGGACGAGGAAAGGCACATAGCAGTAAAAAGAATGTATGCGATATATAATGAGAATTTTTTACCATTAGAGAAGGTAAGATAAATATTATTTATTTTAATGGTCTATAATTGAAATTAATTTTTTAAGTGTTATATTTCATGTTATATTGTTTTAAGTGTTATATTTTGTAGTTTAATTATTCCAAATTTTAATTTAATCTTTATTTAAAAGACTTGTTCACATAACAAAAAGTGAACACACAAGGACAACCCTTATAAATTTTACACATGGATAAATAACGAGTAAATATGTACTTAACTATGCACAGAATAATGAATACATATAGAAGATTCTATCTTAGATATTAGCGCACAAAATAATTTATACTATTTGTAAGAGATACAAATATTTTTGTATATGTCTTTTTAATACTCTTTATTTTTGGAATTTAATAGATTTTGGAAGATCCTAGGCTTCTTCAAGCTGAGACTGAGGCAATATTTATGTTTGACAGCTCGCTTGCTGTTAAACTGTCTTTAACATTCCGCATGTTCACAAACACTATACAAGGTAGTGGAAAACCTCATCACTATCATTTCATTGAAGATGCTCAACAAGGCAAAATAGGTGGTTGTTTTGGATTAACTGAAGTATCTCACGGTTCCAATGCTAAGGGTTTAAGAACCACTGCAACATATGATGTCCAGAAAAAACAGTTTGTCATGCATTCTGCTGATTTTGAAGCTGCTAAATTCTGGGTTGGATCAATGGGTAAGTGTTTATAGAATTTTATCTTTTCTATAGAACAGTGATCACATTTTTTTAAAATATATCGGAATTTATAATGTACCTAAGTTCAACCACATTGACTTCTGTGGATCCAAAGATTACATTATTTTGCATTTTATGTTCCTACATTAAATGAATGTTATGTTTATTTTAGTATTTATTATGTAAGTTTTGAATTTTCGGTTTCACCTAATATTAATATTACGCTTGAAAGTAAAATCTATTTATCATTCAATTTAATTATTTGTTTAATAGCTTCTATGTGTGCTTGTTGAGAACAAATTATTTCGCCTATTCATGCAGCAATTAAGACTGTGACATAATTGGCCAGTATTATTAGCCAAGTTATGTCATGAAATGTATTTTTTTTATTTACACACATAATTAAATAATAATAGCATTGCATGGTACTTATTAAACATTTTTCAAAGCCGAAGCACTTTGTGTCTTAAAATTGTTTTATTGTCTTAAAATGTTTGTCGAGTTTAATTAAGTATAGAGTATTAAAATCCTACTTTTTTACAGTATGTAAAGTTTTGGTTGTGTAGATTCCATCAGCTTCGAGCTCTCATTTCTTCACGCTACTATAGAGAACGGTCATGCATGCTTACATTCTAGGGCTAAATAGAAACATACATTGGTAGAAGCTGTCTAAATATTATTATTGTCTTAATTAATTTCCATTTATAACTGATAATAATGACTAGTAACAATAAGAATGAATAAAGTGGAAGACCTTGAACTCAGAACCTTATAGTTTCTTTTATTTACATAAGTATTATATCTACATACTTAATTTTACCTACAAATGATATTAGGGATACTTAAAATTGTTCTCAATTTGTAACTATTGGTAAAAAAATACTTTGATGTACTAGATAACAGCCTTAACTCTACAAAAATATTAGAATGATAACATATACATCATTAATCTATGTGTATTTAGCCCTTTTTAACGTCCCACTGCTGGGCACGGGCCTCCCTTCAGTACGAGGGGAATCAGGCCATAGTCCACCACGCTGGCCAAGTGCGGATTGGCGGACTTCACAAGTCTTTTGAAAACTTGCTAGGTTCTCTCAGACATGCAGGTTTCCTCACGATGTTTTCCTTCGCCGTTAAGACAAGTGGTAATCATGTTGGAAATGATTCGCACATGAAAATATCAGAGATGCGAGACCCGGGATTTGAACTCGCTTCACTCGGTTTCCCAAGCGAGCGCGTTACCACTGGGCTACCATTGCCTTATATTCATCAATCTATACATATAATAAAATTGTAACTAAGCCGAATCTGTACATTAAATATTTTTTGGAAAATCTTATTGAAATAGTCTCTATTATTGATACAAAGGCCGAATCTATAGTTTTTAGATTTTTTGTCTGACCGTCTGTCTGTCCGTTTGTCTGTCTATTTGGGAACGCATCACGAAAAATCTACTGGGCAGATTTTAATAAAATTTTATATTATGATAGCTGATTATCCTGTTCAACATTTAGGATACTTTTTACTGCGGGAAAATATCTCATCTCTTAGAAATCTATACTAACCGTTATATATCTTATTAGTTTTAAAACGATGTATTTATTCAATTAGTCAATCAACCCGCTAAAGTAGCATAGTGGACTATGACCCAATCTCCCCGCATTAAAGGGGAGTTTCGTGACATAAAACATGTTGACACGGTGCCCTTAGGAAATATCAAAATGATAAATATGTATGTACAGTGCGATGACAAAGCTGTTTGGAAAGTCATTTTATAGTAATATTTTCTAAGTTCATTTACGACCATTTTATTCCTTATACAATGCTCTATCTAATAATCTATGAATAAAATATAAGAATAAATAAAATGTAAAGAAAACTATTTAAAATTCTAAAATGGTTACAACGTCCTTGTATTAATTTGACAGGCTATTCTTTGACAACAAAACGATCAAATAAAAAATATAAGTATCGTGACGATACTATCGTCAGTAGTAGGGTTGCCAACATTTTTTCGGTGAAATATAGTATTTTTCAAAATATGCTATAAAAATATAGTACGCTTCAAAAAATATAGTATTTTATGAAAAAAAAACAAAAAGTAGATACAGATGTAAATTATTTATTTTTATAAAACAAATTTTTTGCATTTTAATTACGGCGTTAGAATGATTTTTTCATTTAAATATTTATGTTACTACTAACCTATGGTTATTCCAGACTATAATCTATCCGTGCCAAATTTCATCCAGATTGAGTTACAAACATCCGTCCAAACTTTCGCATTTATAATATTTATGGAATGACTTATTTCTTTTTTTTTTGAATAATACCTTTTATTTAACCTCTATTAACTCATTATTATCTTAAGTTGTTGTTTTTTCGCCTTACAAATGACCGATTATTTTATTTGATAAAGTTTTACTACCTACTTGTAACCTTAAAAAGATATTTTTGCTTCGTCTATCATACAATATGTTTATTATTATTTATAAGCGGCATATGGGCATTGTTTGATGAACAATATTATAGATACGCGTCTATTATTTATTATATGCTTATAATGTCATTAGTTAGTACCTATCTACCTTCTTGAGTAAGAAGATAGCGCATATTATCTTTTCATTTTATTGTCAACATACCACGATTAGTAGTGTTTTGTTATTCTTTGATTCCCTTGTTGGCCTGGTGGCTAGTATGTACGGTTGAAGGTACGAAGGTCATGGGTTCGAGTCCCGGGTCGGGTCAAGAATAGTTATTGGGATTGTTGGGGTCTTACTGGGACGATAAATAAAAGTAGACTGTATATTTTTGCTGGCTTCGTCCAGTCGAGTGCGGCTGAGCTACTACAGCCCACCGTCGGCGTGTGCATCCCCGCTCTTCGTAAAGAGCCTAAGACCGGTCCCCAATAGGGATTTTCTCTCATAACTACTCAATAACAGCCAGTAGTTGAGAAGTGAAAAATATGAAGATTGATATAGTAAAAATATATATGATTTTGTATGTAGCTTACATGTTATCTAGATATTATAAATGGTTTTCGGGAGCTATGACCATTTCATATATGACAATACACTATATTTTAAATAATTCATGTTTTTTTTAGGGAAATGTGCAACACACGCTATTATATATGCGATGTTGATATCAAAAGGCAAGAACCATGGCTTGCACTCATTCGTAGTTCCTCTGAGAGATCCGAAAACCCTAAAACCATATCCTGGAGTAATTGTAGGTGACATTGGCGAGAAGATTGGTTTGAACGGAGTGGATAATGGGTAAGAGAGGGTTATTTAACTAATATGTATAGGTCGGGGTGTATATATATATATATATATATATATATATATATATATATATATATATATATATATATATATATATATATATATAATAACTTTAGCGTTGCGCATTATATATTTATGGCCAAATAAAATGCCTTCACCATGCCGTCGCTAGCTCGCGGAACGGACGCAGAGATCCAATCACGAGCGACGCGTGATGCCATGACCTATACATAATATGTATTATTGTAAGGACACACAAATAAAACTGAAATTCTATGATTTCAAAATAAATTGGCCAATATTCCTACACTATTATATATATTCACAACAATTGTTAAATAAATAAAGTAAAGCATTTGAAACGTCGGCATTAAAGAAATTAAATAAAACTGCGAAAATATCTTAACGAAAAACCCTTTTTTCCATTCATATAATATAAGTGTAACTGATCGCTGTCTGTACATAGAAGTTATTTGAGAAAAACTATTATTGGGGACCTTTATTAACGCATTGTTTTTCTGTGCGTTTGTGCGCGCAAATCTCAGAAACGGCTTAACCGATTTGGGTGTGGTTTTCACTAATGTGTTGTGGTAAGCTTCACTTAAAATTTAGTATTTGTTTTATTTCAATCGGTTCATACCTAAAAAGTTATGTCAATTTAATGTATCACATATGGATGAAACCGAGTCAAGCAAGGGTGTGTCGCTAGTCTAACAAGGTAACTTATGAAGAATTTGACTTTCTAATTTCTATGTTAGGTATTAATCTTTGTTTATCTTTTAGGTTTGTGATGTTCAACAACTATCATATACCTAAGGAAAATGCCTTGGACAAATTTGGTGGTGTAGATGATAATGGAGATTATCAAACGCCTTTCAGAGACCCGAGTAAGAGATTCGGCGCCTCTTTAGGTATTTTATCTGGTAAGTTTATTTATAATCATTCGTTTTTGTATGCGAATGGTGATAAGATCTTACGACCTTGAATTAACTTATACGGATATGTTTTTTGTTTTTATATATTTTTAGCACTTGAGGAGAATTGTATTTTGTTGAATTTATACTTCTTTTGGCATATTTGGAATAAAATATGCGAGTTAAATTTTTACCTTTTGCATTATTTTGTAAACAGAGAGTTGTGACATACGGGTGAGAGCCTCTGTTACTCCAGTTCATATCAGTCTATCTATGATCCGTTTGATATTCATCCGAATCCGTTTCAGAGTGATGGAATAATAAATATATGCACCTACAAACTTTCGTGTATAATAGTAGTCCGTTATGGAAGGTTAATACGTTTTACACGAGAGATGTCAGGGAATGGAACTAGTCTATATGTATTCAAGCCTTTTTAAGCCCACGAGCTGGACACGGGCTTTCCTTCATTCAATACGAGGGGTATCAGGCCATAGTCCACCACGCTGGACATGTGCAGGTTGGCGGACTACACATGTCTTTCAAAAATTTGCTAGGTTTTCTCACACATACGGGTCTCTCACGATGTTTTTCTTTACAGTAAGACGAGTGGTAATCATGTTGGCAATGATTCGTACAGGAAAATTTCATACGGGTGCGATACTCGGGATTTGAACCTGCTCCACTCCGTCTCCCAAGCGAGCGCCTTAACACGGCTACCATCCTCACCATCATATCTCAGTACTTAGTCTTAACTTGGAAATATTTCTGTTTTATTACAGGCGGCCGTGTCCATATAACGTCGATAACGACGAACTACTTGCAGAAAGCGATAGTGATAGCTATTAGATATTCGGCGGTGAGGAGACAGTTCGCGGCTGATAACGCTACTGAAGAAACACCTATTTTGGAATACCAACAGCAGGTTATTTCAGTGAACATTTTAAATAAAACTAGATTTTCGATTTATTTTGAATCATGCCTCGTGAATGACGAAAAGATAATTTTATTTATAATGTCAAATATTCGCGTAAATCTAAATAAGTATCAATGAACGTGTAATTTTTCATAACCTATATACAAATATAAATATAACCTTAAATGGACTACTTTTATCAACAGTGGCGAATTTATATATGGGTATTTTGGCCTAAGATATAACAGGCCTTTGTTGAAAACAATGGAGAATATTGTGAATTTATAAATTAAAAATTTATTTTAAGTAAATAAATAAAGGTTATATATAAAAGGTTGGCCTAATAATCCTGATATCAATTAACCAGAACCAAACAGTAGCTTTATCTTAATTTCGTCTAGTAGCCTCTATCAATATAGATTTTTTTAAACATAATATGACAATTAGATACTTTAATTCTAACTTAGGATGACTTTTTAAATAAAACTAGCTTTTCGGATTTTTTCGCTGATTTATTTTGATTTTTGGTTCACGATGTTTTGAATGCTTTAAAGCAATCATGGTCACGCGAGAGACTTTCCTGAGAAAAAATCGGAAAGATAGTTTTATTTAAGATGTAACATATCGGTGTAAATCCAAGAAAGTATTAGGGTGACTTGGGGGGAATTCAAAAACACCGATAGGAAGATCAATATTATGTAGTTCTTTGATGGATTCTCCGTACATTGGACACTTACTGTATATAAAAGTAAATAGAAGGATCCACATACGATTACAAAAATCGATAGCTTTCTCCTAATTTTGTAAGTAGAACTACTAATCTAAATATGTGAAATGACAAGCTATTTACAATGTTACAGCAAATCCGTCTTCTCCCGTATCTGGCTGCGACCTTCGCCTTCAGGATATTCTGCACGTGGTTCGGCGCTGTCCATATAAATATAACCGTGGATAATGTTTTGGGTACGATTTATTTTTGTATTAAGTTATTACTAATTTAGCTGACAGACATATACATAGATGTTGTTTTGACCAAATGTCAATACATTTGTGATCATGTAAAAATCTTATAAAAAAAAGTTTTTACCAAATTTCCCAATTTTTGGTCAACTTTACCAATTTTTTTCCCTCTAGAAATTGTATTAAAGCTATCAGGAATATTTAAAATAAACGACGTTGTAGGGAAATCTCTGAATCTAGGGTGCGAATCTAGGAAGCGAGGGTGAGTCGCTAGTATTGTATTCAGCCCTTTTTAACGTCTCATTGCTGGGCACGGGCCTCTCTTCAGTACGAGGGGGATCAGGTTACACTCCGAGCCGATAGTGTTATATATGTATTTTCCATTATCTACTTTGTAGATAAACTTAGGGACTAGTATAGTAATAAGTTATCTGTGGTATGTGTAGTTAGATATAAATTAGTCTGAGAGTTTAACCAATGCTCTGTACATTAAAGTTAATTATAAAAATAAATTGTGTGTTCACTGAAGACACAACACCTAGTACGAAATACATATTTGTCCTGATGTGTCTCATGTACGTATCCGCACTGTGACAGATCGCGTGGAGGCGGGGCTGGCGGCGGCGCGCGGCGCGGAGGTGCACGCGCTGTCGTCGGCCGCCAAGCCGGTGTGCGCGTGGGCGGCGCGCGACGCGCTGCAGGCCGCGCGCGAGGCTTGCGGCGGACACGGATACTTGAAAGGTTTATACTTATACTGCCCACTCGTTACTCAACTTTCACTCGGGTTCGTCCCTAGTGAAAAACAAAAAAAATCTATCCCACAGGAATCGTCATTTTCCCGAGATAAATGTAACCTATATGCTATTTCAGACTATAATCTATCTCTGTGCCAAATTTTATCCAGATCAATCCGTCGAAAATAATTTACAAGCGACTTATCCTCGTTTTGCTCGGGTTCATACCTAGGTACGTTTTCACACTTAGTATGGAATAGATAAACTATATGTACATAGGTATGATGGATTTTATATCCCGTACTTGAAAAATGGCTGATTCTCCATACAAACTTCTACCCCCCTTTTCGCCCCTTTTGCTGGATAATTTACAGGATGAAAACTATCCTATGTCCTCAAAACCTCAAACCTTTTCGATACCAAATTTCACCTAAATCAGTTGAACTGGTTTAACATAGAAATTAACTGTAAGGTACTGAGTTACTTTCGCATTTATATATTATATACTAGTATGGATTCCAATAGACTTTTACAAACATATACTTATCGTGATTTTTTACATTGTTAAAATTTAAATTAAATGTCAGTATGTTAATCCGTGAGGAACCTACCACCGGATTTTACATAACACTGTAAACTACTTTAGTCATTAATATATTCTAATTAAGTTTGACACAATACTCAATTAATTAAATCAAAACACTTGTTGGAATCTTACAAGCAGTCTTGAATTATCACTTTTACATTGTTAGAATTAAAATTAGAAGTTGTGCGGAAATCTACTTCTGGTTCGAAAAGCAGTTCTGCTGAAAAGAGCCGGCTAGGAATTCAACAGTTGCTCTTTTATTTGTTTTTATCTTTCTGCACTATTATAGATAAGAGAGATACAAATAAATGAAACAACATTAATTGGGGCAAATTATTTACATGAATAGATATTAATGGCCTGACCAGAAACAGGCTACAACTACAACTGTATGTACAACTTTTATAATCTATACTAATATTATAAAGAGGTAAAGTTTGTGAGTTTGTGAGATTGTAGGGGGTAATCACTGGATCTACTCAACCGATTTATATGAAATTTGGTAAGAAGATAGTTTGAAACCCTGTGAAGGACATAAGATAGTTTTTATCCTGGAAATCATCCCTTGAGTGGGTGAAAATGGGGATGAAAGCTTGTATGGGATAGCAACCTAGGGACGAACCCGAGCAAAGCAAGGGTGAGTCGCTAGTAGATGCATGTACCATTTAACCCATTGGAACTTTTAATATCTTAAGATGCGTACACGAGGTTATATAAGACTTGACATATCATTTAAAATGTCAAAACAAAAACTTCATTGTTACATCTTATTTCTAGGAGAAATCCCTAATGTGATCGTACTACAAATTATTGTTAATCGAATCCCAAACATTTATATAAAACCTAAACTGTAAAACAAATAGTTTTTTTTTAAATAATAGGGCAATATTTTTTATTTTTGCACAGCGGCAGGCATCGGTGATCTACGTAACGATAACGACGCAAATTGCACGTATGAGGGGGAAAACAGTCTGCTCTTACAGCAAACTAGTAACTGGCTGTTGAGTATTTGGCCTCGAAGACACGAGATCACAGCAAAAGACTCGCCGCTTGGGTCTTTAGAGTTTTTGGAGAATTGTGATGAGAAATTGAAGAAGACTTGTGCTTGGAAGAGTATGGAGGATATGATCGATCCATATAGTGAGTATTGGTACTTATGTATATTAATAGTGACTTAACACTGACAAACTACACACAATACACACACACTCTCATACACACCCACACACACACACATGCGCGCGCACATAAAAATATAGTGTAATAATAACGTTAATCTAAGAGTTACAATTCACATGCAATTGAGTCTATGGAGAAAAAAATAATTAATAATAATTTCTTATTTACTCTAGGTCCATGGACAATACAGTTACTGTTAGAGTTAACAATTTTCTTAGGTTTGGTAATATTAGGTGGGTTAATATTTGGGGTTGCCTGACCTCATAGTTTTATTAAACTAAATTATTAAAGAATTAATATACAGATATTTAATTTTTTCCTCATTATTTTTATAAAACAAACCATTTATCAATATTAAGTATAAATGCAGTGTACTAATAAAAACTTAATATTTTGTGTTTCAGATCTAACCCAAATGTACAAATGGCTGACTGCATTTGTCCTAAAGATGACGTATGAAAAAGTGAACAAATTGAAACGAGAAGGCAAAAACAACTGGGAAGCCAAGAACGACTCGCAGTCATACAACGCTGTGACGCTATCTGTGGTCTATGGAGAGGTTTGTATTTAAAAAAGCATTCATGAGGACTGTCGATAGAAATGAAAACTTAAAACTTACAGTTTATAAACATACAGTTGTTATTTTTGCTTAAATTAAAATTTGTAAACTAAAACTGTTTACATTTACATATCTGGTTTTGATATCTATCGGCACTCTGAGTGTTAACTCGTCACGTGACCAAGTCGATGACGACTTACATGAATTTACTCCCCATCCAAATATGCCTATACAAGTTTTCACTTGAAAAAGTATTTATTATAGTAAAAATTCAACGCTGAAAGCCTCAAAATTTATGTTCTTGATGTGACCATTAGATTTTTTTATACTAAACCGTGAAAATAACTTGATATAACAGGATGAAAAGTAACTATTCTTCCCATAAGCTTATATTTTTTATTTTATTTATAATAATATATTTAAGAAGATTGACTTTTAATGTTTGACGATTAATGTTTTTCAACTGGTCTTCTTTTTACATAATGTCTAAAATTTATCTTATATATATTTTTTGTTTTTAATTTAATCTTTTGCCTGTGGCTTTGCCTGCGTAATAACTACATACACCGTAACACCATCTAGTGGAGTGTTAGAGTAAAACGTATTGTATAAAACACTTACAATTAACATAATTATATGTGTACTTAAAAGTCAAAATTTCAATGTAATCTAATACTTTATTAGATTTACGCGAATATTTGACATGTTAAATATAACTTCTTTTTGGATTTTTTCACGGATTAATTTTGATTGTTGGTTTCCGACGTTTCGAATGCTTTACAGCAATCATGGTCACGGGAGAGACCGGATAGGAAGTCTAAAAAATATTTAAAGTTCAATGTAATCTGTTAACAACTTATGAGATTTGCAGTTTTGAACAAACAAACATTTCTATTTTATTTATATAGTACATAAATATGGTATAATTGTCAATAATAATTACAATAAATAAATTATAATCTTCTTTTTTAATTCTTCATATGTATTTTTTTAGAATCACATTTTGAACCATTTCTACAAGACTGCGAAGAGTTTCGAAGACGTTGCCTGCAGAAAGGTTTTGCTGAAGCTCGTCTCTTTGTTCAGTGCTTTTCTACTCGAGAAACATATGGCAACATTATATATTGTAAGTGGATATAAAGAATTTATTCTCATGTCAAAAGAAAAGTCATTAAATTAATACATATAACAATTTTACATATAAAAATAAGTGGTAATTATGTTGAAAATTTACGCCATGTTCTGAAATTTGAACTCGCATTTACTCTTCTTAGTAAGCGCGTTATCACTGAACTGCCACTGCCTTCCTTTACAACTAATAATCAAAATAAATAAAACATCATATATATCATCGATAAAAAAGTGTTATATCCTCACCAAATGAGCGCTCGTTTGAACATTTGAGCGCGTTTTTATTTTATTTTGGTGAAAACAACTTTAAGGGCTGCATTTAAGATTCAATTTACATTGTCGTATATTTATTTAAAATAGAATTACCTAAACACAGTTGGTGGTAGTTTTGAGAGAAGTTTTGCAAGGGATCGTGTATATAGTACTTTTTTGATTGATGGATAATATAAAAAAAAGTTAAAAGTGTGTGTGTGTGTGTGTGTATGCAATTTACTCACGGTAGAAGTGAAATTAAAACGAATCTATAATTAATTAAATAAGGCATATTAGGCATGTTACAATCATATATCTATAGAATATCGTATATGGAAAGAACATTATACATTTGTCAGACAATAACAACGGTTACCGTGGCAACAATTAGTCATAATAGCTTTTATTTAGTTTATGCACATGAGTAATAAGTTCAATTTTTTTAATCAAGTTTTAAAGTTATTTTACATATTTTTATTTAACATATATTACGTAATGACATATTATTCAGTATTATTTTTGACTTCCTGTATAATGTACTCTATCTCTTTCTCGTGTCGCACTTCCGTTTCATCGAATTTCAAATCACAACTATTCTCAAGAACTTTCACTTCAATAAACAACACATCCATAGGGCGGCTACTTCACCCTCGACCAAGGGTTGGTCCTTCGCGAGGGAGTCCTGCGGCTGTGCGCGGAGCTCGTGCCCGACGCGGTGTCGCTGGCGGACACGCTCGCGCCGCCCGACTTCTGCCTCCACTCCGTGCTGGGCAACGCTGATGGAGAGGTGATTATTAGTCATTTATTTACTAGCGACTCACCCTTGCTTCGCTCGGGTTTCGTCCCTAGCTTGATTCCCAATACAAACTTTCATCCCCATTTTCACGCCCTTAAGGGATGATTTCCGGGATAAAAAGTATCCTATGTCCTTCCCAGGGTCTCAAACTATCTTCTTACCACGTCTAAATCAGTTTAAAAGATCCAGAGATTACTACCCTACAACGTCCCAAACTCATAAACTTTACCTCTTTATAATATTAGTATAGATATAACTATAGATAACATATTATTTCAATCTCCAGGTATACAAGCACATACAGAAGCGTGTCATGACATACCCCGGCGCGCTGGAGCGCCCGCACTGGTGGCGGGACGTCGTGTTCTGGCAATCCTACATACCTTCCAAATTGTAGATATGTATATTGTATAATTTTTAATTATGTGGATGGCAGCGTATATACATATAATATGTATATCTCTCAGACTAAAATATAACATAGAGTGTCATAGAACTAAACATGAAGCCAACAAATGACAATTTGAAATAAATGTTCTGACGAATTTTACTGTATATTAAAAATTAAATAAGCTAATAATTTGCTATCTCTCTTCAAGAGGAAGAGAACTAATGCTTATAAAATTAAAAGGAATATTATATTCATGTTTTATTCTCAAAAATTGTATATTAACTTAACTAATACCTATAAAAAAATCCCTTATTATTTAAAGAAAGTAAAGTATCTGTATGAGAAAATTGAGAATAGTAGCATAAACAGCAAATCACGCTACTATTTTTGATTGTGATATATACATATATATGACAGATTTCCTACAAATTGGTACGGAACCCTCGGTAGGCGAGTTCGACTCGCTCTTGTCCGTATTTTTATAGATAATGGCACGGAACTCTTCGTGCGCGAGTCCGACTCGCACTTGGCCGGTTTTTTTATAATTCAATTTTATTATATCAGTTCCTAAGTAATTTCAAAATATGTACGTACTCCAAATTAGGTTTTTCAAAAGTTTTATTGAATAATATTCAGTTGAATTTTGATTATAATTTTATTTCTATATATTTTTAGCTATTTTTAATAATATTTTTTACATTGTATAGAATAAATATAAAATATTTTTATTATGTAATTGTAATAAGTATAATGCTTAAGGTTAGACGGAGTTTTTATTTTTTTATATATTTGCTATACTTCTGTGATACAATTTACAATTGCTTTGATTTTAGTTTCTCTATGGAAAAGGCTCATAACTACTAGACTAACGAGTAATATAGACTGAGTTTCATAGAACTAAACATGAAGTGAAACAATTTTTAAATAAAATAACCTAATATTATTATTCATATTTTAATCTCAAAAAATGTATATTAATTTAACTAATACATATGTATAAAACGTTTGCCTTATTCTTTGAAGAAAGTAAACTATAAGGAAGGCAAAATCGAGAAAATTTTCGATTATTTTAGCAGGATTCCGTTTATATTATTCTTTAGTCTGAGGAAAAAAAACCGAATTTGTAAGTGATTATCAGCGATCTTAGTGTTATGCTCTTAGGTTATTTGGTGGATGATTTTTATATGTGAGGTTTATACATGGTGTATTCATATTCAATGTTTCTATAATTGTTTAACATATTATATTTACAATGTTTTATAAATATTTTTTATACGTATATCTTTGTTTTATTAAATAAAAGTAATTGAGCTACCTTTTTTTATCGTAAAATTGTTTTTTTTTGGATAATTTTTTTTTTCATTTTTTCGGAAAAGACAAAGAGTATAGATAAACTTAAAAGCAAAACCTTATTTAACACAAAGTTTGTTCCAAATCGATAGAGACGTTTCTGAGATACACGATTAATAAATTTATATTATACGTACAAAATTTGCTCATTTAATATTATTAGATTAGGATTTAGTTGATAGATACGTTATATTTGCCTAATAAAGGTTTTAGATATTTGACCCGTATTACGTATATACTCGTAGGTATGTTTTTTACCGGTTTGGATAAATTATACATCGTCAGAGACAAAAGTACATGTAGCAAGACTCCCAGCAAGGCTAAAACACGTACATTTCTAGTATGCATTTTACGCAGTCGGTTATTTTTAACCGACTTCCAAAAAGGAGGAGGTTCTCGATTCGTCGGAACCTTTTTTTTATGTATGTTCATCGATTACTCGAAGACGCCTGAACCGATTTGGAAATTTTTTATTTTGTTTGAAAGGGTATACTTCCCAGGTGGTCCTATATAAATTTTATCGAAATCGGTAGAGCGTTTTTAAAAAAAAAACAACAATTAATATATTTTCACAAAATCTACAAACAATAAATAGTCGGTGCCGCCGACAATATTTTAAGATATTAATATCTAATAGGTAAATATGTATTTTACGTATCGAAATACATATAACATTAGATTTGCTTTGCATCGGCTGGCACCGGTTTCGAAAATATCTGATTAAGTATCTATTCTAAATGAAAACCCCCGTTTAGTTCTATTTTACTTTTTAGTGCCTGAAAGTCGGTTTTTATTATGTTTTTAAAAAGTTTTTATCTATTTAATTTATTTTGAATGTTAAATTACTTTTACATTCTATCATTTTAAATTATATTGGACGTGGCTTAGAAATATCGAAATCGTATCCGCTAGTCCTGGCATAATTGAAAACTCACAATCATTACGCCAAATATATCTTGTATTTAGCCCTTTTTAAACGTCCTACTGCTACTGTCCCTTAATACGATGGGGATCAGGCCATAGTCCACCACGCTAGCCAAGTGCGGGTTAGCGGATTACACATGTCTTTTGAAAACTAACTAGGTTCTCTCAGACATGCAGGTTTCCTCACGATGTTTTCCTTCACCGTTTAAAACAAGTGGCAATCATCTTAGAAATGATTCGCACATGAAAATATCAGAGGTGCGAGCTCCACTCGGGATTTAAAACCACTCCACTCGGTTTCTTAAGCGAGTGCGTAATAATTAGCCCAATAGTGCTAAAAAAAATACAGCAATCGTATTTTTTGTTTCTAAATAGTTCACCTTCGTGTTTTTAAACATTGAATTATGTACTACATAATCCATTATTTATTTATTCGAACACTAATCCAATTTGCATATAAAATAAGTGCTGTCAATCACTGAGTCACGGGTAGCCTAACGTAAAGGGTAGTCGGTTATCTTCAGTTCAATATGGCTAGACCTTTACTTAAGTTCCTATTAATTACAACTTTAATTGTATCGTAAGTAACTATAAATCAAGCTTTAATTCAATAACAAAACGTAAAAATTATATATTTTTTGGTATTGACTCTTGTATTTTTTTTATTTCACTTTTGTAAATAGCAGAAGTCGATATACATCTATACCAATATTATAAACAAGCAGAGTTTATTTGTTTGAACGCGCTAATCTCAGGAACTACTAATCCGATTAGAAAAATTCTTTTTGCATTAAATAGCCCGTTTATCGAGGAAGGCTATAGGCTATACATCATCATGCTAATAGTAATATAGTCTATATATTCTATACTAACCGTTAAAACGTACCTAGGGACGAACCCGAGCGAAGCGAGAGTGAGCCTCTAGCATTTAATAATTAAGGAAGCTTTAATTAAAAATATAAATCAATAACTAAAATGCATTAAAAATTCGTGTCTAGAGTCCAGGCAGATGTAGGTATCATATTCAACGAATTACAAGTCCATAAAGATTTGGAAGTCCTCCTCATAGATATTTTAAACGGCTTGATCAGAAACGATGCGGTTACTTGTCTAACGATAGTTTGCGATGATGTGTATTTAAATGTTTTTGAAGGAGCCCTATTCAAACGGACTTTAAATGTGCCGTATAATATGGTACGTATTCTAATTATATACTATACCTACGTTCTTAGCTTCTAGCTGGCTAGTGTCTTAGAGCGAGATCCCGTGAATATAATACGATTGTATTGATTTTTTTTATAGATTGTAGTGGAGGATTATGAAGATTTGTTGTCACCGAATTTCAGTACTTTAGAATCTTTGATGCAGGCGAGGACTGATGGGTGCAACGTTTATGTTATTTTAATGGCTAATGGTTTACAGTTGACTAGGCTTCTGAGATTTGGAGACAGGTATAAATCTATACCTACTTAAAAACAAAATTGAACAGGCTGACTATAATTTCAAAAACTTAATATGAACTTATGAGCTACTGAGCTCATAGTAGATTATTTTCTCAATTATGTTAAACCTCAAATAAAAAACCTATTTCACTTTTTAAAATATCTTTCACTGGTTAAAATATCATTTCAAACATAAAATAATATACAAATTGTCGATAAAACAAAGATTTCTAAATAAAAAGGCCCCTTTTTCCAGATATCGTGTACTTAACACAAGAGCTAAGTACATAATGCTTCACGACGTTAGATTATTTCATAGTAATCTTCACTATATATGGAAACGGATTGTCAATGTCGTATTTATAAAATACCACCAAAAAGTTTTAGGCAGCACCAAAAACAAAGCTTGGTTCGACCTTTCAACGGTTCCGTTTCCGAACCCTATAAAAGGAATTTTCATATCGCGACGTGTAGACATATGGAAGAACGGGAAACTACACTATGGCAGAGACCTATTTGCGGATAAAACTAGAAATTTGTATGGTGAAATTCTAAATGTGGTATATTATGATCATTTACCATCTGTTGTTATTATGAAATCGAATAACACCAAAGTTGGGGGCGTTGAGATTGAAGTAAGTTAACCAATCCGGCTCGAAGGACCATTTATTTATTCGTAGATGCAATACTGATAAATATTGTTAATTTAGCTTTGGTTGTTGGTTGTTTTATATAGAGGTTCATTTACAATTTAATGTTTTCGAGAGAATATTTTCAGATTTTGAATACTTTAGCACAGAAAATGAAATTTGAGCCAAAATTATATCAATCGCCTAATCCTGATTTACATAAATGGGGTGGAAAACTAAGTAACGGTTCTTTTTCCGGTCTCCTTGGTGAGATGGTACACGGGAAAGCGGATATGGCTTTGGGAAATTTGCAATATACACCTTACCATTTGGAGTTAACCGATTTGAGTATACCATATACAGCACAATGTTGGACATTTCTAACTCCCGAGGCTCTGACTGACAATTCTTGGAAAACCCTTATTTTACCTTTTACGTAGGTATTAAAGGAGTTTTTAACTAAAATTATAAAACAAAAAACTTATTGTTTTACGAACTGTATTTTTTTCAGTGTTGCTTAATAATTATTATAAATTTTCTCGTATTATTCTAATTTTTAAAATTTCAGTCTTCATATGTGGATTGTTGTATTGATGGTGTTATTTGTGACCGGATCAATATTTTATGGTCTCGCCATGTACTACATACACCTTCTCGATTATAAGGCAGAAAGTGTCAATATTAAAAAAGAAAAAAAATACTACGGTAATTATTAGGCTAATTTAGATATTAAAAAGAAAAAAAAATTGAATATATATTAACAAATATTATACATATTTTAGAATAGCCTTCGTTTAGGTTCTTAGCATAAGTTATAATATAAAGAACTAACACACAGGTCATACAAGTTCAACCAAATGTGATCTACATATGTGGTGGTGATCTACGTAACGATAACGACGCAAATTGCACGTATGAGGGGGAAAACAGTCTGCTCTTACAGCAAACTAGTAACTGGCTGTTGAGTATTTGGCCTCGAAGACACGAGATCACAGCTAAAGACTCGCCGCTTGGGTCTTTAGAGTTTTTGGAGAATTGTGATGAGAAATTGAAGAAGACTTGTGCTTGGAAGAGTATGGAGGATATGATCGATCCATATAGTGAGTATTGTTACTTATGTATATTAATAGTGACTTAACACTGACAAACTACACACAACACACACAATCTCTCATACACACCCACATGCGCGAGCACTTAAAAATATGGTGTAATAATTACGTTAATCTAAGAGTTACAATCCACAGGCAATTGAGTCTATGGAGAAAAAAAAAATTAATAATTATTTCTTATTTACTCTAGGTTTATGGATGGATACAGTTACTGTTAGAGTAAACAATTTTCTTAGGTTTGGTAATATTAAAAAAATATTTAGTGGTTTTGCGCCTGTGGGGTTGTCTAACCTCATAGTTTTATTAAACTAAATTATTAAAGAATTAATATACAGATATTTAAATTTTTCCTAATTATTTTTATAAAACAAACCATTTATCAATATTAAGTATAAATGCAGTGTACTAATAAAAACTTAATATTTTTATTTTCAGATCTAACCCAAATGTACAAATGGCTGACTGCATTTGTCCTAAAGATGACGTATGAAAAAGTGAACAAATTGAAACAAGAAGGCAAAAACAACTGGGAAGCCAAGAACGACTCGCAGTCATACAACGCTGTGACGCTATCTGTGGTCTATGGAGAGGTTTGTGTTTAAAAAAGCATTCATGAGGACTGCCGATAGAAGTGAATACTTAAAACTTACAGTTTATAAACATACAGTTGTTATTTTTGTTTAAATTAAAATTTGTAAATTAAAACTGTTTACATTTACATATCTGGTTTTGATATCTATCGGCACTCTGAGTGTTAACTTGTCACGTGACCATGTCGATGACGACTTACATGAATTTACTCTCCATCCAAACATGCCTATACAAGTTTTCACTTGAAAAAGTATTTATTATAGTAAAAATTCAACGCTGAAAGCCTCAAAATTTATGTTCTTGATGTGACCATTAGATTTTTTTATACTAAACCGTGAAAATAACTTGATATAACAGGATGAAAAGTAACTATTCTTCCCATAAGCTTATATTTTTTATTTTATTTATAATAATATATTTAAGAAGATTGACTTTTAATGTTTGACGATTAATGTTTTTCAACTGGTCTTCTTTTTACATAATGTCTAAAATTTATCTTATATATATTTTTTGTTTTTAATTTAATCTTTTGCCTGTGGCTTTGCCTGCGTAATAACTACATACACCGTAACACCATCTAGTGGAGTGTTAGAGTAAAACGTATTGTATAAAACACTTACAATTAACATAATTATATGTGTACTTAAAAGTCAAAATTTCAATGTAATCTAATACTTTATTAGATTTACGCGAATATTTGACATGTTAAATATAACTTCTTTTTGGATTTTTTCACGGATTAATTTTGATTGTTGGTTTCCGACGTTTCGAATGCTTTACAGCAATCATGGTCACGGGAGAGACCGGATAGGAAGTCTAAAAAATATTTAAAGTTCAATGTAATCTGTTAACAACTTATGAGATTTGCAGTTTTGAACAAACAAACATTTCTATTTTATTTATATAGTACATAAATATGGTATAATTGTCAATAATAATTACAATAAATAAATTATAATCTTCTTTTTTAATTCTTCATATGTATTTTTTTAGAATCACATTTTGAACCATTTCTACAAGACTGCGAAGAGTTTCGAAGACGTTGCCTGCAGAAAGGTTTTGCTGAAGCTCGTCTCTTTGTTCAGTGCTTTTCTACTCGAGAAACATATGGCAACATTATATATTGTAAGTGGATATAAAGAATTTATTCTCATGTCAAAAGAAAAGTCATTAAATTAATACATATAACAATTTTACATATAAAAATAAGTGGTAATTATGTTGAAAATTTACGCCATGTTCTGAAATTTGAACTCGCATTTACTCTTCTTAGTAAGCGCGTTATCACTGAACTGCCACTGCCTTCCTTTACAACTAATAATCAAAATAAATAAAACATCATATATATCATCGATAAAAAAGTGTTATATCCTCACCAAATGAGCGCTCGTTTGAACATTTGAGCGCGTTTTTATTTTATTTTGGTGAAAACAACTTTAAGGGCTGCATTTAAGATTCAATTTACATTGTCGTATATTTATTTAAAATAGAATTACCTAAACACAGTTGGTGGTAGTTTTGAGAGAAGTTTTGCAAGGGATCGTGTATATAGTACTTTTTTGATTGATGGATAATATAAAAAAAAGTTAAAAGTGTGTGTGTGTGTGTGTGTGTATGCAATTTACTCACGGTAGAAGTGAAATTAAAACGAATCTATAATTAATTAAATAAGGCATATTAGGCATGTTACAATCATATGTAACATTTAGTTATTTTATGTGCCAGTTCGTAGATTTTGAATATAGATGTTTGATATGTCAAGTGGACAGTCGGTGATTCGCATTATATGAGTTAGGAATATAAAATATAAATGTAAAATGAGTATACAGAAAAAGCGAGAAATATAATTGTTAATTGCCAAATATTTGTCTTCCTGGAAAACCCTTCTGAGCTGTTTTAGCTCAGAAGTGGGATTACTGCAAAAATATACTGTTTTTGCAACGCCCACGGATCATCTGACAATTTGAAGGTTACGTTATTTTGTAATTTATATGATTTTTTTCAGTGAAAGGATTCAAAATCCTAAAATATGTTTCAATTTGTGAGGTAATTGTGTATTAAGTTGAATAATATGAAAAAAAATACAAAATAGTGTGATTATTAGTTAGATGTATATGGATTAATCCAAAGTATATTAAAAATGTCTACGGAAAATTTTATTTGAAAGTAGAAAATGATGTGTTGAGATAGAATTAAGGCGATAAAATACATATTAACTTAGATTGAATATTGTATAATAACAGAAGTTGAAAAGTCATTTAGCTCAAAAGATACTACTGATTACTGATTCTTAGGTTCCTTCCAAATAATGCCAAAACGTGTTACTTTTACTATACGATAAATTTCTGAATCTTGAATTTATACCAAAACAGTAGAGAGACATTAAAGTTGTTCCTATTCCGAAACCTGGTCGGGTTGGTTCTAGTTCATCCCTAAGACCTATTTCAATGATGTTGTGCGTTTGTAAAGCTTTTCATAACATTCTATTGAAGCGAATACAATGGTTTATAGAAAAGTTTGAATTTTTTTTAAACCGGATAAACGGGGTTTAGAAAATTCCGATCTACACTTGATAATCTCAGTGATTTAGTATTGACAAAAGAGAAAGTTTTCTTTTAAGGAAGACGTACACTATAATACGCTTTATAGACATTGATAATGCATATAATAACAATCTCAGAGGTCTTTTACATAACGTGGATGAAATGGGAGTCGGATCTAATATTTGCACCTACGTACATAATTTTTTCAAGGAAAGAAATCTTAATATTTTAATTGATAACTCGTATTATGTCTCTAGGAAAACTTAGCCCAAGGCGATCCTTTATCACCTTTAGTGTTCAATATAGCAACTATGAATTTATGCAAAAAGATTAAAAAATGTATTAATATCCCAATATGCTGATGATTTTGTGATATAACTTGTGATAACTTTAGCTTAGGGACCATACGTATGCAGAGATCGCTAGATGAATTGAATAGTCATTTATCCGATATAAGGTTGACTGTATCGCCATCGAAAACAAAGATTTGTGTTTTCATGTCTGACTATAGAAAATAAATAATTAATTTAAAAATTAATAACATTGCTTTGGAAAAAGTTGATAGTATTAAATATTCAGGTGTTTGGCTGGATAAGTCACTAAAATAGAAAAAGCATATAGATGAATTAAAGGTTAATTTATCTAGATGTTTAAAAGTTTTAAAGATCTTGGCAGTTCTAGTTGGGGTATTCATCCAGTGCACATGCGACGTCTATATATTTCATTAATTCGTAGTAAAATTGACTATACCAGTTCTCCCAAAAACTACAACAAATTATGCAAAGAAGGATATTACATTTGAAGGATCACAACTCTATAACAAATTACTATCTACTTTAAAAAAATGTAAGCTCAATTAACGGGGTTAAATCTCAGCTCTCACAATATATTTTGGAAAATAACCAATTTAATAACATTTAATATACATACATCTGTAACTATATCTCGTTAACTGAGTACCTACTTATGTGGCGACTATTTGCATAATTTTTACTTTATGTAATTACGTTGTTCTCATGTAAGTGACTTTGTCCTTTTTGAGAATAAAAAAATTCTTTTAACTTAATAGTTGCAAAACTCATCTTAAAAAGTTGGATATAGTTTAGAACCAATGTTTGAGAATAATCGGTGGATACATCAAAACCACTGCCACTCACGTGATGGAATGTGAGCTTTATCACCCTCCACTCCACATTCGTAGAATTAGGTACCTTGCAGGCAAATTTTGGTAAAAATCAGTTCCTTTAAAAACAATAATATAGTTTACGTATTAGATAGTTCTCACACAAATATTACAGATACTTATAGAGAACACATGAAATAAAAACCTTTATTACTTAAAATTCATGAAGCTTATAAATCAACCAATATTTTTTCTAGTGAACGGATGGAAATGTTTTCATTGAACTCTGGGTTAATAAAATAGATTTATCGAAAAGTATAAGAACAGACATCTGTTATGAATAGGTACAAACAGTTTTATAATCTCCACACATTGCATGAGGTCTGCATAAAGTTCATTAGTGGAAAATATTTTGATTTTTACAAAATCTATAATGATAGTTCAACGGATAATTGTGGGGCTACAGCAGCTTTTTGGGACCCGCAATCTAAGAAAATTATAACAACTCTAAATTCTAAATTTTTGATTATGCATATTGAACTCTTTGCTACTGCTGAAGCTCTGTCCTATATTGATTTCTGGGATTACGAGAAGTATTACTGGCTAATTTTTAAAGTGCTCTTTACATTTGAATCGGTGTACTCTAGCCTATAGAGGAATGCCTATAGCTTATGAAATTATTAAGTTATTAAGTAATCTCCATTGTAAAAATAAACAAATTGTACTACAGTGGGTACCCTCACATGTCGGCCTAGAAAATAATGAAATAGTAGATAAATTTGCAAGAGAAGCCATAACAGACCGTATTCCGTGTATACTACATACTTACCATATTGGTCAGATGTTTTGTTTTTAATAAAAATACAATGATTAGAAAACGTGGAAAGAATATCTTAGTGAAAAACTGTTACATAAAAGTATTGGGTATAAAACTATTCAACCTATCTATATATATGACGCTTCTCATGAGTCAGCTAGGCCGATATGAGTAGATATGATACTGAAACTAGTTTTAGGCTTCGTTCGGGTCACCTTCCATTGAACTATTTTGCGGTTTTAATAGGTAAGTCAAATTCGACAGATTGCGCTGAGTGTGGGATTGTGGAAGATACTAATCATAATTTAATGAAATGTGTTCAGAATTAGGCAGGCAGAATATGTTTCTTTGAAACATGTAAGCTAAATAAAATGGATGTTGGTGTTGTAACACCCCATTTGGGTCAAGCAAAGATGCCGTATAAAATTGTGCAATTAGTATTAAAAAGGTAGAATAGATAAAAAAAATGTATTTCCTATAAGGGTGGCATGGTCTTTACAATCAACCCCTATGAAAAATAAAAATAAAAAAAACGCGTAAGAACATAGATTTATTTTTTGAACAAATCTATGAAATACTACTAATTATTATTTTTTATTTGTTAAGCACTTCAATTGATATATAACAAAGTTTTAAAATATAATAAACTAATGATATTTGTGTGTACAAGTTCTAGATGGATGGAGGTGAATTTGACGAAATGAGGCGACGGAGATAAGAAATCGTCCCCTGTATGTTTTACGTAACCAGATAGAAGAAGCTAAGAGCTTGTGAGGGCGAGCATTGCAGCCGAAGCCCGATCGGACACGAGAGCCGACAAGATAGTGTTCACTATTTTCGAAGTAGGAGGCAGAGCTGTAGTGATCACCATTGGCCAAACTTTAAACACGGGAAGTTCTGTTTATTTATTTATTTGATGAGTATGACTTTTGATGGAGAGGAAGAGTATTTTTATTAATATTGTAGAGACAAATAGGTAGTGAACCTGTCTGCATAACTAAGAGCTCGAGCGGATGTGTGCCGAGCATGAGTGTTATGTATGACTGGTTGCTCAACTAGTTGGTAGTGAAAGAATAGAAGTAACTATCCTCTAGTTGAAGTTAGTGATATAATAACTATAAGACAAATAGGTAGTGAACCTGTCTGCATAACAAAGAGCTCGAGCGGATGTGCGCCGAGCATGAGTGTTATGTATGACTGGTTGCTCGACTAGTTGGTAGTGAAAGAATAGAAGTAACTATCCTCTAGTTGAAGTTAGTGATATAATAACTATAGCGATATCAGGTCATAAGACTTGGAGCAAGATGGTAGTGAAAGAATAGAAGTAACTATCCTCTTGTCAAGTTGTAGTGACGGGATAGCTATAGCGATTATGCCCTGAGATTTAAAGCAAAATGGTAGTGAAAGAATAGGAGTAATTCCTCTAGTATATTTAAAGCCTACCCGTGACTCACAATGACCTTTTTTTCATCAGGCCATAGAAGGATTAAACCGATTGATTCATGACGTACCGAACAGATCTACATCCCATCATAAAGCGAGAACTACAAAAGAACATGTATACCCCGCGTTCATTAAGAATTTTATCAACAAAAGACGTAGACTCCGGGGAGTATGGCACACCACCCACTATCTTAGAGATAAGACAGCCTTCAATAAAGCCTCACAAGAACTAAAGACGCTAACTAAAGATGTGGAAAATGAGAACCTACAATCATATCTCGCAAGACTGACACATACTAGTGACCCGAACTATTCGTTGTGGAAGCCTACCAGAATCCTAAAGCGTCCAAAACAACACAGTACGTCATTGAGAACACAAACGGGTTCTTGTGTCCGCTCAGACTGTGAAAAAAAAACTAAGATCGACGCTAATCACCTACATACAGTCTTCGAACCACTCCCCAGCAACAATCAAAATCTAGAAAATGAAATAGAGAAATACCTTAGGTCATGGTAACATACTGGGACCAGTTCTTTATTTAATATTTACATCAGATCTACCCTCTACGCCAATACCATTACAGCGTTATACGCAGATGATACCTCACTTCTTTCGACCCATGAGAATCCCGATTCCTGAGACCCGATCTGTAAGACTCCAATCACACCTGACTCTCATCGAAGCATGGTTCCAGCAGTGGCGCATTAAAGCCAATACAAATAAACCGATTCAAGCAACTTACACATTTAGAAGGAAAACCTACCCTTCTGTGAAAGAGAGATCCCACAATCTGATGACGCCAAATACTTAGGTAAACATCTCGACCGTAGACTCACTTGGCGCAAACACATATGGACTAAAAGGAAACAGCTAGACACAAATTCCGCAGCATATATGGGCTCATCAGTCGTAAGTCATCGTTGACAAATGACAGAAAAATGGCTATCTAATACCTATAAAGCTATACTAAAGCGGAAAGCCTAAATGGAGTTGTGGCATTCAGCTCTGGAGTAAAGCCAGCCATAGTAATATTGAAATACTCGAAAGGTTTCAGAGCAAAACAATGAGAACCATGATCAATGGTCCACCAAATATAAGTAATAAATATGTTTACCTAGATTTCAATCTGCAAATAGCGAAGGAAAATGTCGAGTTAAACAGCAATAATTATCAAGCCAGATTGGACCGACACATTAATAAATTAGCTGCCGAGCTGAAGGGGGTGGGCAGTCTAAGATTCTCTCGCCTTAAGAGAAATAGTAAATCGAACCTAGCGACTAGATTCACAGAGTGAAGATGAGGATTGTACCACTGGGTGCACGCCTCTACTGAAGATACATTTACCGATAAAAATCTAACAGCATATTTGATTATTGTTAAGAACAAACAGATTACAGATAGAAATAGAGAGTAGCAGGATTCAACAAACTTTTTTTTAATGTAAGATGAGTGAATTGTAATGAATTGTGAAACTTTTTTGACTTAGTGTGGCCTAAAACGAAGGGACTCGTTATTGTAACGGATGGCCGACTGTAACATTTAGTTATTTTATGTGCCAGTTCGTAGATTTTGAATATAGATGTTTGATATGTCAAGTGGACAGTCGGTGATTCGCATTATATGAGTTAGGAATATAAAATATAAATGTAAAATGAGTATACAGAAAAAGCGAGAAATATAATTGTTAATTGCCAAATATTTGTCTTCCTGGAAAACCCTTCTGAGCTGTTTTACATATATCTATAGAATATCGTATATGGAAAGAACATTATACATTTGTCAGACAATAACAACGGTTACCGTGGCAACAATTAGTCATAATAGCTTTTATTTAGTTTATGCACATGAGTAATAAGTTCAATTTTTTTAATCAAGTTTTAAAGTTATTTTACATATTTTTATTTAACATATATTACGTAATGACATATTATTCAGTATTATTTTTGACTTCCTGTATAATGTACTCTATCTCTTTCTCGTGTCGCACTTCCGTTTCATCGAATTTCAAATCACAACTATTCTCAAGAACTTTCACTTCAATAAACAACACATCCATAGGGCGGCTACTTCACCCTCGACCAAGGGTTGGTCCTTCGCGAGGGAGTCCTGCGGCTGTGCGCGGAGCTCGTGCCCGACGCGGTGTCGCTGGCGGACACGCTCGCGCCGCCCGACTTCTGCCTCCACTCCGTGCTGGGCAACGCTGATGGAGAGGTGATTATTAGTCATTTATTTACTAGCGACTCACCCTTGCTTCGCTCGGGTTTCGTCTCTAGCTTGATTCCCAATACAAACTTTCATCCCCATTTTCACGCCCTTAAGGGATGATTTCCGGGATAAAAAGTATCCTATGTCCTTCCCAGGGTCTCAAACTATCTTCTTACCACGTCTAAATCAGTTTAAAAGATCCAGAGATTACTACCCTACAACGTCCCAAACTCATAAACTTTACCTCTTTATAATATTAGTATAGATATAACTATAGATAACATATTATTTCAATCTCCAGGTATACAAGCACATACAGAAGCGTGTCATGACATACCCCGGCGCGCTGGAGCGCCCGCACTGGTGGCGGGACGTCGTGTTCTGGCAATCCTACATACCTTCCAAATTGTAGATATGTATATTGTATAATTTTTAATTATGTGGATGGCAGCGTATATACATATAATATGTATATCTCTCAGACTAAAATATAACATAGAGTGTCATAGAACTAAACATGAAGCCAACAAATGACAATTTGAAATAAATGTTCTGACGAATTTTACTGTATATTAAAAATTAAATAAGCTAATAATTTGCTATCTCTCTTCAAGAGGAAGAGAACTAATGCTTATAAAATTAAAAGGAATATTATATTCATGTTTTATTCCCAAAAATTGTATAATAACTTAACTAATACCTATAAAAAATCCCTTATTATTTAAAGAAAGTAAAGTATCTGTATGGGAAAATCGCGAATAGTAGCATAAACAGCAAATCACTCTACTATTTTTGATTGTGATATATACATAATATATATGACAGATTTCCTACAAATTTGTACGGAACCCTCGGTAGGCGAGTCCGACTCGCTCTTGTCCGTATTTTTATATATAATGGCACGGAACTCATCGTGCGCGAGTCCGACTCGCATTTGGCCAGTTTTTTTATAATTCAATTTTTTTATATCAGTTCCTAAGTAATTTCAAAATATGTACCTACTTCAAATTAGGTTTTTCAAAAGTTTTATTGAATAATATTTAGTTGAATTTTGATTATAATTTTATTTCTATATATTTTTGGCTATTTTTAATAATATTTTTTACATTGTATAGAATAAATATAAAATATTTTCATTATGTAATTGTAATAAGTATAATGCTTAAGGCTAGACGGAGTTTTTAATTTTTTATATATTTGCTATACTTCTGTGATACAATTTACAATTGCTTTGATTTTAGTTTCTCTATGGAAAAGGCTCATAACTACTAGACTAACGAGTAATATAGACTGAGTTTCATAGAACTAAACATGAAGTGAAACAATTTTTAAATAAAATAACCTAATATTATTATTCATATTTTAATCTCAAAAAATGTATATTAATTTAACTAATACATATGTATAAAACATTTGCCTTATTCTTTGAAGAAAGTAAACTATAAGCAAGGCAAAATCGAGAAAATTTTCGATTATTTTAGCAGGATTCCGTTTATATAATTCTTTAGTCTGAGGAAAAAAAACCGAATTTGTAAGTGATTATCAGCGATCTTAGTGTTATGCTCTTAGGTTATTTGGTGGATGATTTTTATATGTGAGGTTTATACATGGTGTATTGATATTCAATGTTTCTATAATTGTTTAACATATTATATTTACAATGTTTTATAAATATTTTTTATACGTATATCTTTGTTTTATTAAATAAAAGTAATTGAGCTACCTTTTTTTTATCGTAAAATTGATTTTTTTTTTTGATATTTTTTTTTCATTTTTTTCGGAAAAGACAAAGAGTATAGATAAACTTAAAAAGCAAAACCTTATTTAATACAAAGTTTGTTCCAAATCGATAGAGACGTTTCTGAGATACACGATTAATAAATTTATATTATACGTACAAAATTTGCTCATTTAATATTATTAGATTAGGATTTAGTTGATAGATACGTTATATTTGCCTAATAAAGGTTTTAGATATTTGACCCGTATTACGTATATACTCGTAGGTATGTTTTTTACCGGTTTGGATAAATTATACATCGTCAGAGACAAAAGTACATGTAGCAAGACTCCCAGCAAGGCTAAAACACGTACATTTCTAGTATGCATTTTACGCAGTCGGTTATTTTTAACCGACTTCCAAAAAGGAGGAGGTTCTCGATTCGTCGGAACCTTTTTTTTATGTATGTTCATCGATTACTCGAAGACGCCTGAACCGATTTGGAAATTTTTTATTTTGTTTGAAAGGGTATACTTCCCAGGTGGTCCTATATAAATTTTATCGAAATCGGTAGAGCGTTTTTAAAAAAAAAACAACAATTAATATATTTTCACAAAATCTACAAACAATAAATAGTCGGTGCCGCCGACAATATTTTAAGATATTAATATCTAATAGGTAAATATGTATTTTACGTATCGAAATACATATAACATTAGATTTGCTTTGCATCGGCTGGCACCGGTTTCGAAAATATCTGATTAAGTATCTATTCTAAATGAAAACCCCCGTTTAGTTCTATTTTACTTTTTAGTGCCTGAAAGTCGGTTTTTATTATGTTTTTAAAAAGTTTTTATCTATTTAATTTATTTTGAATGTTAAATTACTCTTACATTCTATCATTTTAAATTGTATTGGACGTGGCTTAAAAATATCAAAATCGAATCCTCTAGTCCTGGCATAATTGAAAACTCACAATCATTACGCCAAATATATCTTGTATTTAGCCCTTTTTAAACGTCCTACTGCTACTGTCCCTTAATACGATGGGGATCAGGCCATAGTCCACCACGCTAGCCAAGTGCGGGTTAGCGGATTACACATGTCTTTTGAAAACTAACTAGGTTCTCTCAGACATGCAGGTTTCCTCACGATGTTTTCCTTCACCGTTTAAAACAAGTGGCAATCATCTTAGAAATGATTCGCACATGAAAATATCAGAGGTGCGAGCTCCACTCGGGATTTAAAACCACTCCACTCGGTTTCTTAAGCGAGTGCGTAATAATTAGCCCAATAGTGCTAAAAAAAATACAGCAATCGTATTTTTTGTTTCTAAATAGTTCACCTTCGTGTTTTTAAACATTGAATTATGTACTACATAATCCATTATTTATTTATTCGAACACTAATCCAATTTGCATATAAAATAAGTGCTGTCAATCACTGAGTCACGGGTAGCCTAACGTAAAGGGTAGTCGGTTATCTTCAGTTCAATATGGCTAGACCTTTACTTAAGTTCCTATTAATTACAACTTTAATTGTATCGTAAGTAACTATAAATCAAGCTTTAATTCAATAACAAAACGTAAAAATTATATATTTTTTGGTATTGACTCTTGTATTTTTTTTATTTCACTTTTGTAAATAGCAGAAGTCGATATACATCTATACCAATATTATAAACAAGCAGAGTTTATTTGTTTGAACGCGCTAATCTCAGGAACTACTAATCCGATTAGAAAAATTCTTTTTGCATTAAATAGCCCGTTTATCGAGGAAGGCTATAGGCTATACATCATCATGCTAATAGTAATATAGTCTATATATTCTATACTAACCGTTAAAACGTACCTAGGGACGAACCCGAGCGAAGCGAGAGTGAGCCTCTAGCATTTAATAATTAAGGAAGCTTTAATTAAAAATATAAATCAATAACTAAAATGCATTAAAAATTCGTGTCTAGAGTCCAGGCAGATGTAGGTATCATATTCAACGAATTACAAGTCCATAAAGATTTGGAAGTCCTCCTCATAGATATTTTAAACGGCTTGATCAGAAACGATGCGGTTACTTGTCTAACGATAGTTTGCGATGATGTGTATTTAAATGTTTTTGAAGGAGCCCTATTCAAACGGACTTTAAATGTGCCGTATAATATGGTACGTATTCTAATTATATACTATACCTACGTTCTTAGCTTCTAGCTGGCTAGTGTCTTAGAGCGAGATCCCGTGAATATAATACGATTGTATTGATTTTTTTTATAGATTGTAGTGGAGGATTATGAAGATTTGTTGTCACCGAATTTCAGTACTTTAGAATCTTTGATGCAGGCGAGGACTGATGGGTGCAACGTTTATGTTATTTTAATGGCTAATGGTTTACAGTTGACTAGGCTTCTGAGATTTGGAGACAGGTATAAATCTATACCTACTTAAAAACAAAATTGAACAGGCTGACTATAATTTCAAAAACTTAATATGAACTTATGAGCTACTGAGCTCATAGTAGATTATTTTCTCAATTATGTTAAACCTCAAATAAAAAACCTATTTCACTTTTTAAAATATCTTTCACTGGTTAAAATATCATTTCAAACATAAAATAATATACAAATTGTCGATAAAACAAAGATTTCTAAATAAAAAGGCCCCTTTTTCCAGATATCGTGTACTTAACACAAGAGCTAAGTACATAATGCTTCACGACGTTAGATTATTTCATAGTAATCTTCACTATATATGGAAACGGATTGTCAATGTCGTATTTATAAAATACCACCAAAAAGTTTTAGGCAGCACCAAAAACAAAGCTTGGTTCGACCTTTCAACGGTTCCGTTTCCGAACCCTATAAAAGGAATTTTCATATCGCGACGTGTAGACATATGGAAGAACGGGAAACTACACTATGGCAGAGACCTATTTGCGGATAAAACTAGAAATTTGTATGGTGAAATTCTAAATGTGGTATATTATGATCATTTACCATCTGTTGTTATTATGAAATCGAATAACACCAAAGTTGGGGGCGTTGAGATTGAAGTAAGTTAACCAATCCGGCTCGAAGGACCATTTATTTATTCGTAGATGCAATACTGATAAATATTGTTAATTTAGCTTTGGTTGTTGGTTGTTTTATATAGAGGTTCATTTACAATTTAATGTTTTCGAGAGAATATTTTCAGATTTTGAATACTTTAGCACAGAAAATGAAATTTGAGCCAAAATTATATCAATCGCCTAATCCTGATTTACATAAATGGGGTGGAAAACTAAGTAACGGTTCTTTTTCCGGTCTCCTTGGTGAGATGGTACACGGGAAAGCGGATATGGCTTTGGGAAATTTGCAATATACACCTTACCATTTGGAGTTAACCGATTTGAGTATACCATATACAGCACAATGTTGGACATTTCTAACTCCCGAGGCTCTGACTGACAATTCTTGGAAAACCCTTATTTTACCTTTTACGTAGGTATTAAAGGAGTTTTTAACTAAAATTATAAAACAAAAAACTTATTGTTTTACGAACTGTATTTTATTCAGTGTTGCTTAATAATTATTATAAATTTTCTCGTATTATTCTAATTTTTAAAATTTCAGTCTTCATATGTGGATTGTTGTATTGATGGTGTTATTTGTGACCGGATCAATATTTTATGGTCTCGCCATGTACTACATACACCTTCTCGATTATAAGGCAGAAAGTGTCAATATTAAAAAAGAAAAAAAATACTACGGTAATTATTAGGCTAATTTAGATATTAAAAAGAAAAAAAAATTGAATATATATTAACAAATATTATACATATTTTAGAATAGCCTTCGTTTAGGTTCTTAGCATAAGTTATAATATAAAGAACTAACACACAGGTCATACAAGTTCAACCAAATATTTATTTTGCAGATACAAAACCTGTTGGCTTGTATTTATTTGGTGAAATAACTAACAGCATTCTTTATACCTATGGAATGTTACTTGTCGTTTCTTTACCCAAATTACCTACTGGTTGGTCAATACGTTTACTGACTGGATGGTATTGGTTGTATTGCATACTTTTAGTTGTATCGTATAGAGCCAGTATGACTGCTATTTTGGCTAATCCAGCCCCAAGGGTCACTATCGATACTCTGAAAGAGTTAGTTGATAGTAGAATTGCCTGTGGAGGATGGGGCACTGAGACGAAGATGTCTTTTGAACAGTCATTAGACGAGATTGGTCAAGAGATAGGAAAACGGTTTGAAGAGGTCAACGACCCGGAAATAGCTGCACAAAAGGTCGCTAAAGGCATCTTCGCGTATTACGATAGTTCAGATTACCTAAAATATTTAAGTGTCAAGCGAAAAAATGATATGAACTTTGAGAATACCACATCAAATATAACAAATTATTCGAATGAAAGGAATTTACATATAATGTCAGATTGTGTTGTGAATGTACCGATTTCTATTGGTTTTCATAAGAATTCGCCTTTGAAGCCCTTGGCAGATGTCTACATTAGACGGATAGTTGAAGTTGGGCTTGTAGAGAAATGGTTAAATGATGCTATGTATAAAATAAGATCTATGGACACTACTGAAGAAGAAGTTAAAGCTTTGATTAATTTGAAAAAACTATACTGCGCTTTCATAGCTCTTGCAATTGGATATACTTTAAGCTTCATTTGCCTTGTCGGTGAATGGCTGCATTGGCGTTATGTGGTAACAAAAGATCCAAATTTCGACAAATATGCATTAGATAAATATTATAAGAATAAAAATAAAAAGACTTAAATGAAATAAAAATATGTATTATAGTTATTTACAGTCCAAACACAATATTACAACCTATTTCAGTCAAATTTTGTGCAATTCAGTTAGTGTCTTAGCTAATCAGTAAATAAATATTCTAAACTATTCGCTAAATTTAAGTATCATTTAAATTCACAGTAAAATCTAGTCATGATAATAACTTGATGATTGAGCATTAGGTCTATTATAATAATAAAATACATGGAATGAAATGTGTTTAATTTACCTACACCTTACATAAGACGACTTGCATGGTATTTTTGACATTGTAATAACTATAGCTAATTTTATATATTTGTGTCACATAAAAATATAAAAAGTCTGAACCAGTAGAAACATACATATAATGTTTCTTATACATTGATATCTTAAACAATTAAATATTTCACATAATTTCATTCTAAATCATAATTAAGTAGTTCTATAAAAAGCATTGGCCATCTTTGATAAATGAAAACTAAATCACTTTTGTTGTTCAGCATTGAAAACAGGAGGTGGCACACCTTCCGGAGCATTCTCTAAGATCCATGGATGTTGCAATACACTTGTCAATGGTAATCTATGTTCTGGATTTATAACTAACAACTTTCCCATTAAATCTTTTGCCTTTTCAGAAATAAAATCTGGGTACTTAATTATTACATATCTGATTTTTCTATAAGTTTGATGCGAGTCTTTAGCATCGAATGGTGGTAGCCCTACAAGTAATTCATAGCACAAAACCCCAAGGCTCCATATGTCAACAGCATAGCTGTGAGGTTTTCCTTCAATCATTTCTGGAGATAAATAGTCTAGTGTACCACATAATGTCATACGCCGAGATGATGGTGAATGTACAGACCAACCAAAATCAGCAATTTTTAATTCATAATTGTGGCCAATCAATAAATTTTCAGGTTTTATATCTCTATGAATAACTTTCTTGGAATGGCAGTAAATTAAAGCTTTTGTGAGATCTCGCATGTAGATTGCAGCTGTTTTCTCATCGAAACGCCCGCGTTCCTTGAGTAATTTGTATAAAGCACCATGTTTTGCATATTCAAGAATTAGGTATATTCTTTTTTCGTCATGAAAATAGCCATACATGCGTAGAATGTTAGGATGCCGTAAGCGACATTGGATTTCAACCTCGCGCCTAACTTGGTGTTCAATTTCTGAATCCAATATCTGACTCTTAAATAAAACCTTTAATGCAACCACGTAATGAGATTCCTTTTCTCTAGCTAAGTACACATTGCCAAATTTTCCTTTACCGAGTGGACGTCCTAAGTCGAAGTCAGTTAATGCCCATTGTTTCTTTTTATCATCTTTGCTTTTTAAATCAGGTTTTCCAGCATTTTCTTGGTTGATTTTATTATTGCAGTGTAGAGGTCTATTAACGGGTATTGTTGGCACCTTGAAGCTATCAGCTGGCTTTTTTTGTGCATTCGAAGTACATGCACAAGCCGATCGCCCAGCGATAGGAGGTCGGTTTTCTTTACAATCACATTTTTGTATGTTCATTGTCACAGTATTTTACACTGATCTAACTAAAATTATTTGAATATCTTATCTCACAACAAAGACGATCGCTCGCAAATTTCAAAGTTTGAAAACGTACCTACCTAACGTCTTTTATGAGTCTTGACAAAGAAAGCTTTTTATTGCCATAACGGCACGCCGGAAAAAGCGAGAGAATCGCAAATTAATAGAAAAGTTTATTAAATCTTTAATAAAATTGATATAAGAAATTCTATTGGAATGAGTTTTTAAATGCCTTAATAGTTTATTAGGTTAAATTTAGAAAAACCATTGGGATTTAAAATCTTTTTTTTCCCATCATTGACACATATTGTTTACTTGTAATATTTTTCACTTGAGTATCTGACGTTTGCCAGCTGTTTAAGTGGTTGACACTTGACATACATTAAAATAAAATGGTTTTTTATTTTAGCGACTAACGAATTCTAATTTTTTACTATTCATAATATTGCTAAAAAAAAATATTACATGCTGCAAATCAGTGCTCAGTTATATTATTATTTTAAAATTAAATTTAATAAAACGGTAAGTGAATATAAATAGTTAATTATTTCTAAAATAATTGCTCTATTTTTATTCAATATTTGAATTCTGTATATTTTCTCTTTGCTAAGTGCCTTAATATTTTCTCATATATTTTTTTAAATACCATCAGCGGTCTACTTTCACCATTTAAGTTAAAAGAAACTTTGAGGTTAAGCACAACAAAAAGTCAATGCTTGGTTTTATATCATTCAAATCCTTATAATATTTTTTGTTGTTATTGTTTGTGAACATCATATTGAATTGAATTTTTAATTATTCCAGGATCTCATTATATAATAAAAATGTCTGATGATGCAGAGCAGCAAGCTGAGGAGATAGAAGTACTCAAATCTATTTATGAGGGTGATGACAATTTTAAACAAGTAGATACAACAACTTATCATTATAAGGTATGACATAAATACAAATAATAATAAGAGTGTAACTTTTAACATGCTAATTTGGCATATTTGCAGTTAAACTTCAAATGTATATACATAACCTACATAAACAATGTAAAATCTCATGACTGTCCTGTTATACATTTTATACAATCGCTGTAACAGTTAAATTAATTTTTCTTCTCTATTCTATGTGACATTGGAGAAGTAATCTGTGCCCAACTGGCACTCTTTGAAGCCATTAATGAAAGAATTGAATTAATATTAATTTTATTATAAATTAAAATACTATCAATCAAAGAAATGTGCATTTTTTTAATGTGATTTAACTTGATTTACAGTATGTTGATGGAGATAAGTCATTCATATTAGAGATATTATGGGGACCCACATACCCCACGGAGAAACCTAAGTTTAATTTAGAAATTTTCTACAATCAAACCCTGTGAGTACTTATTTTAGTTCTATTTAAAATGTTTGTTTAAAATTTTATTTATAAAAATAATTTACTAAGCTATGGAGAAAATTGGAATAAATAGAGATTTTTTTGTGATAGATTCTATTAATTAGAACTGATCCTGGTATTCTCTAGTCAATTCTTAATATTTATTAATTTTAGTATTTGATTTTTAATATTTGAGCTTACATGGTAAAGTGACTGAGTGTGAAGTTTGTAAGTTACTATTTATGTGATAGAGCAAAACAAAATGAGCTACAAAATCCTTTGTTCTATATGGAAAACTTGCTTTATTTGTTACTTTCTAAGTCTTTGATAGGTCTTTTTTCAAAACAAATATTCTGTAAAAAAATTACTGGATGTTATTTAAGAAGAGATACATAAAAGTGTACAGTGTAAGCTTACTAATAGAGTAGGGGGGTGCACGAAAGGAGCTTCCTCGAGCGATGTATACAACCTGTATGTATGGCGCACCCTGTGCAATCAGAAATTTATTAACGCTGATTGGCTAATCCTGTCACCAATATGGTCAATAGGAGAAGAAGAAGTAGACTAATAGAGCTCACTCAGCCTTTCATATATGAAAAACAAATATATATAGGAAATTGTATCTTATTTTTTTTAGCAAATAAGTACAACATTGAAAAATTTTTTACAGATTACCTTCCGTAAAAGGTAAAATATTATCCATACTGGATGCAGAAGCAGATCAATGGGTGGGATGTGCAATGACCTATACATTATTTGAATGCCTTAAAGAGAAAGTTAGCGAAATATTAGCTGAACAGACAGAAGAAGCAGTTGTGGCTAAAGTTGAAAAGATTGCTATTAGTGAACAGGTAATAAGATAATTTAAATAAAACTATCTTTTCGGATTATTTCGCGGATTTATTTTGATTGTTGGTTCCCGACGTTTCGACTCTATTTGGCATCCTTTAAGATGCCAAAAACCTTAGTCTCTTCCGTGACCATGATTGCTGTAAAGCATTCGAAACGTCTATATGTATATAATGTACTAGAAAATGTTTGTTACTTCCAAAAACAGATACTATCTCATCTTAACCGTCAATAACAATAATTCACAAATAAAAATGGAAAAACCCTCTGTTTCAGACTGAATCAACAAAGAAACCAGAAAAGAAAGAACAGATGAGTAAAGCACAGAAGAGAAGAGCGTGGGACCGCGCGGAGATCGGTCGCGCGGGCGAGCGGCCGCGCGGCTGGGACTGGGTGGACATCGTCAAGCATCTGTCCCAAGCGCCCCACCAGCCATCTTGACACTAAATATATTATATCATAGTTATTTGTTTTTTTTTTCAATTTTTAACTTGGGACTTAGATATGATGCTATTCTACCATTGTTGCAGACGAGAATTCAGCTTTGAAAAACTCAAATATTTCTTAATTATTACATTTCTAGAATCAAACTATACATAAATTATGTACGACAGATTTACGAAAATAATAAGTTTTACTTAATTTATCTGACACCACCAATTATCTTTTATACTTATTATACATTTTGATAAAAATATTACCTACGTCGCGTATCAACAATTTTTATAAGATTGCTGAACATCATGAATTTTGAGGAATGGCATTTTTACTATTTCTCATGATCTCATGTTCGTTGAATGAATGTTAATAATGTGTTCTTAGCAATTTTGGTGTCGTGCCGTCACAAAACTGAAAGAAAGTAAGAATGTTTCAAGATTTTTATAACACTGTTTAGATTTATTTTATATTAATATTATAAAGAGGTAAAGTTTGTTTGTAGGAAGTAATCTCTGGAACTACTGAACCGATTTAAATGAAATTTGGTAAGAAGATTGTTTGAAACCCTGGGAAAAGGACATGGGATAGTTTTTATACCAAATTCCATGGGTCAAGGGTTTTTCGAGAAAATAGTATAAAGGCATAATTTGCTACGAAAAGTCAAAGTAAGAGATTATAATCATGCTGTAAGTTTAGTAGTTCATGGTAGACCCACAGCTTGATAGTATATTTTATTAAAAACTAGCATTGCCCGCGTTCAGATGACCAAAAACCAAATTCATAGGTTTTACATGTTAGTATACTCTTACATGCAGTTTTTGTATTTTTTCTCAGAAATGAGATATTTTCCCGCGGTAAAAAGTATCCTATATATTGATCCGAATAACCAGCTATCACCATACCAAATTTCATGAAAATCCCTCCAGTGGTTTTTCTGTGATGCGGTAACAGACAGACAGACAAAAATTCTAAAAAGTATAGATTTGGCCTCTGTATCGATAATAATTTCTATTTCAATAGGATTTTCCAAAAAATATTTAATTAATTTAAACAGATTCGGCTTAGTTACAATTTTATTATATGTATAGATGATAGTGATCTTTGACTGTAAGTACCTAATTGTTTAGGTCTTTTTTTATTTTTAGATAGTTTATATTATATTTTTTTTAAATACTTTTTAATCTATATTAAAATGGCAATTAATTTGTCAAAATATTCGACCTAATTTTAAGTATGAATTGTTGTCATTGTCATTTTTTTTTGAGGAAGCTGATTTATATTTAATTAAATGATTTACACAAAGCAGGAATGGTACACGCCGGCTGAAGTTGCTGTGCACAATAAAGCGAACGATTGCTGGGTATAGTGTTATTTTTATATCTATATTAATATATAAAACTAAGATATTGTTTTTATTTTTGTTTGTTTGAAAGCGTTATTCTCCGGAACTAGCAATAAAAAATATTAATGCTATTATCCGTACAATGCGCCATGATCTCATACGAGCGGAGTAATTATATAAAATACTAGCATTGCCCGCGGCTCCGCCCGCGTTCAGATGACCAAAAGGCATACTCTTAGGTTTTACATATTAGTATACTCTTACAATGCAGTTTTTGTATTTTTTCTCAGAAATGAGATATTTTCCGCGGTAAAAAGTACCCTATATGTTGACCCGGATAACCAGCTATCATCATACCAAATTTCACCAAAATCTGTCCAGTGGTTTTCTCGTGATGCGGTAACAGACAGACAGACAAAAATTCTAAAAACTATAGATTCGGACTCTGTATCGATAATAATGTCTATTTCAATTAGATTTTCCAAAAAATATTAAATGTACAGATTCGACTTAGTTACAATTTTATTATATGTATAGATGAAGTATGAACTGCTGCCAGCTGAGCCGTGACCAAAAGCTCGAGTAGTTTACTTAATTGAGTACCTACTTAAAGAGTTAATTATACTTACTTAGTTATTTCCACTGTCAGAAGTGAAATTTATTTGAAAATATTGTAAGATAAGGTATACGTTAAGATAAAAAATATGTTAAATCCTTTGTATAATTTGCAAATACGTCACACTAAAATATAGCCCAAATTAGTGTAACCGAATGAGGTATTTCTTCTCTTTGAAGTCGGAAAAAAGTACCTTTGGCTAAAGTAAACAAAAAAACTATGGATAAATTACAGGTATCATTAAACGGTAAAGTACGAGACCTGACTGCCTGGTTAGACGGACAGTTTAGAATCTGCAAATGCTTTAAGAGTTGTTCTTGCCCTATAAAAAACTGGTTCTGTGATGATGATTGCGTTGAATATTGTGATTGTTTCAAACGTGGATTTGCTTACTGTGATGGAAAAAGGGTGTGGATCATTTAAATATTATAATTTTTTTTTAAATATTTTACGTTACTAATTAACTGTATACGTTTGTCATTCGTCTTTAAAAAGTTCGGTGGTCCATAAACTTACCTATTGTTTACATATGTATATCGTATAACTGTTTCGTTAGTCTAGTGGCTAGCATGTACAGCGGCGGATCTTGAGGCCATGGGTTCCAGTCCCAGGTCGGGCCAAAAATACTACTGGATTTTTCTGTCAAGAAATGCTCAGTAAGATAGGGGATAGGGACTACCACCCGTGTGTATCGGTCTTGCGCTTGATTTGTCATCGGCCGCGTCCCATCTTCATCCCACCAGATTTTGAGAGTAACTTAGTTATTTAAATGATATCATCAAGATTTAATTAACCAAATATGTGTACTTAAGTAACAATAACATTTTAACCCTTAGTTAGCAATGACTGTTCTGGCCTACGCTGGCAAAGATATAAGCCATTGGTTTAAAAATGAGGATTGGGTACATTATACCCATCCTATAGTTGGATCCTATACACCGTATCACCAACACGGTCCTGGTAATGAGCAGCCGGTAGTACCATCCACAAGATGGCGGCCATTTACCAATCCTTGGTGGTTGGATGGCACCAATATTATAGGAAAGGTTACGGAGAAGACTAGGCCCATTAGAATTACTAATACATTAACGGGTTAGTTCAAATTTTGAATTTATGACCCTGCTTTTATTTGCTTCCATTCTAACTTACAAATACCTAAATAATGAAATCTTGCTGTCGATTTATGTGTATGCTCAGTTCTTTTTTTTTGTTTAGATTATAAACTTTGTATTTGATATAATTAAGCTGATCAGATGATGAGAGGCAGGATGTGGATACTGGAACTTTTCAGTTAGGTACTACTACTAAAACCATCAAGTTTCATTTTGTTCGTTTAACGATACTTGATACGTACCTATATTATAGTTGGTGAAAATGTTGTTTTTAGAGTTATTTAAAACTATGACAATTTAATTTTTAAAATTTCAACAAGGATCTAGTGTGACCCTGGAAGTTTGTTCCGAAGAAACCATATACCAAATCATGATGCGCTACCTTCCCCACAACTCTCATATGCTCTCATATACTTGGAGACATCTTGGTAGGGGACTATTATATAACAAAACGTTAGAAGAAAATGGCATAAAAGATGAAAGGGATGTTTTTAGTAGTGTCGCATTGCCTGAGAACTTTTATATACCAGATATTCTTTTGTATTATAACGATGATTTAACTGAAGGTTAGTTTATTTTGTTTGTTAGAGAAATTATAATGATGATACATTTTAACGTCAATATAAACATTTAATATCGAACTCTTGACCTCCAACGATATAAAGACGGTGTTAGTTAGACATAATGTACCTATCTACTGTGCCATAATGATTATTAAGGTAGGTACACTACTTGAGTGTTACACTGTAACAGTTTAAAAAGTATCGACACTTTTTTTCAAAGACCTTTGTGAAAGTATATTTGTAAAAAAAATTTGCACGCTTTACCGAAGTGTGGAATAAGAAATTGGATTCAGATACTTAATAATATTTACACCAGGATGGATCATACGTAATCTAATTGTTTTAATATTTTCCAGATCCACCGAAAAATTGCTTTTGTCTAGAAAAAGAATGCACTCATAATCAACCTGAGAAATGTCATTTGGAAACACTGTAAAAAGTTTTTGTATTGAACTATCGGAATTAAAAAAAAACAGTTTCTTGAAAAAATATATTTTATAATAAATCTTGTTTATTTTAATGGATTACTTATTTTATTGGTTTTTAAAGTTTAATTTATAAATACTTAAAAAACCTCTTTAAATAAAGAATAGTTTACATATATTTCTTATACTAATATTAAAAACATTGGTTAGCTGAAGTAATCTGTATGATCATTTATAACCATTACGTTTACAGACTATATTTTATGCGCTCGTAAGTGTTTAGTGTACAGCTTCAACGTGGGTTACATTACCTTACAAGTGAATTTCATAAAAAATATTCTTACAAGGCAAAAGCTCGTATAGAAAACATAAGTAAAAACCAGACGTTTAAGATCCATCATAATAGTTTTAAAATGGTCGTAAAAATATACAAAAGGGTGCATTAATAAAGACTAGTTGCCATATAAAGTGGTTACTTCAACAAAGTAAGTCGTGACTCGTGTCGAGGCACACCGCACGTGCCCAGAGTTCTGCGTGAAATAATCTAGCGATTTGCCCTGGCTTTGTCTAGGTGTAAAATGATAGCTAAACATTCTTAAATACATACATACATAGCATATATATACGTACATATAACTTCAATATTTTTAATAGCTATTAATTTAACTACTAAATTATTTAATACTAGCGACTTATCCCCGCTTCGCTCGGGTTCGTCCCTAGGTTGATATCCGTACAAACTTTCATCCCCATTTTCACCCCCTTAAGGGATGATTTCCGGGATAAAAAGTAGGTATATGTCTCTATATCCTTCCCAGGGTGTCAAACTGTCTTCTTACCGAATTTTATCTAAATCGGTTCAGTAGATCCAGAGATTACCCCCTACAACCTAAAAAACTTTACCTCTTTATAATATTAGTATAGACGATCCTAGTACATAATAATGTACGCCTTTATTATGTTACATTGTTGCTAATATGTCTGAAATCTAAACATAGGTGTTTATTAATTATTACCACTTTATCAAAGTTTCATCGCAATTGGATATCGTTATAAATAATCACATATTATATTATATATTGTTTTTATTTTATTCACATTTTTAGTACAGGTATATTGGTATTTTATTGTAGTTAAATTACTTTGAAACTATGATATGACAACCATTTGGCGCAACGGTCATGTTTATTGTATTACAGGCAACAAATTCAACTTCCTCGAACGACACGTGGCTCAGTTCGTAGTGATCCTACTTGCTGTGCCAGCGGTCGTGGGTTCGAATCCCACTCGAGACATTCATTTGTGTGATGAGAGATTGTTTGTACTCCAGTTATGGGTGTTTACTGTTTATAATATGTATGTATTTAAAGTTATATAATAGGTGTAGTGTATCAACTATCTGGTATCTATAACACAAGCCTCGTAGTTTATCATGGAACTAGATGGTGCTGTGTGTTAATGTCCCAACATATTTAGTTATTATTTATTTATTTATTTATTCTTCGAAGTATACAATTGTAGCTATTACAGACATTGGCCATGTTGAAGAATCAATGAGGACTGCCAACACCACATAGTTTAGGGAGATCATAAAGATCTAAGAAACATATAAGCTACGAATTAACGGAATATATATATACAACAACAGAGACAAGGGTAGGAAGATGATGTACATTTCATACACATACAATCACAAATATGTACTAAGAAATCAGTATGAATCTTTTGTTGGAAGTCGGTTAATATATATATATATATATATATATATATATATATATATTTTAACGTCCCACTGCTGGGGGTGGGCCTCCCTTCAGTACGGGGGGAATCAGGCCATAGTCCACCATGCTGGCCAAGTGCGGGTTGGCGGACTTCACATGTCTTTCGAAAACTTGTTAGGTTCTCTCAGACATGCAGGTATACATATATATATACATATACATATATATATATATATATATATATACATATATATAAGATATAACTAAGGCAAGGTTTTATCTAAAGGTATAAATAATTTGAAATCGACGTATTTTCTTGTTAAAATGTTATTATTTTGTCGACATGGTTATTAATTATCCCATTGGTGATAAATAACGTAAAGCTATATTATTTAAACAAATATATATTTCCCTATAAAATTTACGACGAAGAAAGACAGTTCAAGAAGGACATTTATTAGCCATTAACATCGTGTAGAAATAAACTTATAGAATGAAATTGTTTACAAGCCTTATAAGTGATATATACCTTCTCAGACACTACATACTCTATTACTTTTATGGCACCATATTAATTGCTTTTAAATAAACCTTTCAAAAGTAACCTAAATAATAAATTTCAACAAAATGATGTTTTTCTATGTCAAAAGTGATCATAAAAATCTTTCATTATTATCTATATTACGTATATTTAAATATTACCTAAAGTTTCTCAGGTACACTTTCAGAGTTTTCTTCGCAAGAATTTGGTGTTGCGTCTACCAAAATATATCACTACTCACCTTACAAAATGAAGCATTCTGCTCAAGATATATAAATTTCTGACCGATTTCAGTGATGTCAGAAAAGTCAGCGCAGTATGTATTAAAGTATACGAATTTTTTTACAAATTTATTCTTTTTCTCCAATTTCCCTGTATTCTCAAACTCCAGTGGGACAGTAATTCGATACTCGCTGTGAGATTAGGCGCAGAACCGACCGCGGGACGTCACAAGCCACGACGCCACAAGTTCCCGACTTTGGCCTGATTCTGAGATTTTTTTTGACAAAAACACCTAATTAATATCTCTACTTGACCCGAACTCGAACCCAGGGTCTCCGGATTTGGAGCCATCGGTTTATGCATCAAACCAACGAGGCAATTCCGTATTACAAAGTTCATTCAGAAATCCGTCCAGAGAATATTGCATTTGCATATTATAATATACAACGATAAAATATTGTGTTGCTATCGTATAACCAAAGATATTGCGTACTAGGTAGTTATATAATTAGAGTAACATCTAAAAACAAAGTTCATCTATTTTGAAATTCAAGTGAATACAGGTACTTATGTTTTTTCCTATCACTACGGACCTTTAACACAGTAATAGTACTGCAATATCTAGGAATATAAGCGTGCCGTTCCGATCTACGAGTAGGGATGTTTTTGTGCAGCGCGTGTCTAGTGATATTTGCGCCTTCGGGAATAATTCATGCTGTCAATTAACTGATTTAATTAAAGAAACATTCTATGTATTCAACCCTTTTTTAACGACCCACTGCTGGGCACGGATCTCTCTTCAGTACGAGGGGAATCAGGCCATAGTCCACCACGCTGACCAAGTGCGGGTTGGCGGACTTCACACGTCTTTGAAAACTTATTAGGTTCTCTCAGACATGCAGGTTTCCTCACGATGTTTTCCTTCACCATTAAGACTAGTATCAAGTGGTAATCATCGAAATGATTCGCACATGAAAATATCAGAGGCCGGGGATTTGAACTCGCGTCACTCGGTTTCCCAAGCGAGCGCGTTACCACTGGGCTACCACTGCCATTCTATGATATCCTAAATATCTCTTAAACACAATCTTTCTTAAAATATTTACTTAAAGTTTGCCTGGAAGAAATCGCTCTTTTAGCGATAAGGCCGCCTCTTGTACCTTGTTCTATATTTTGTATATTTTCTTTTCTCTTTTTGTTTTTGGGTGTATAAAAAGTTAAGTTATTCATTCATTCATTCAATATTAGTATGTATACCCGATTAAATAGACGTTATCGGTCGAAGTTAGTTCTACGTCTTGCCGGTAGGGCACGAAAGTCTACTGACAAAACCTTTTACTATCCTGTTGCATGTGTTAAAGAGAGAAAGACTCATTATTTTCTTAACTTTGTTTTGAGATAAGATATACCTAAGATATGTTAGAAAAAATATTTCCTAAGTACCTTGCTCTTTGTCTTAATCAGATCAGATAAACCATATAATTTATCCAATCTACTGCTAGAAAAAATTCAAATCACCAACAAAATTGTCATTGAAATCTGTCGTGGGAAGCCTTGTAATCGATTTATTTTAGCTGTCGACACAAAAAAATATATGTCATATGATTATTAACGAGTGAGAGTATAATTTCGATAGCATTGCATTACGAACTGGATTACTTAACACCATTGTGCTTAGTTATGAATATGCATTATTGCTACACTTGGAGCGTCCCATACGCGCCACGCTTAGCCGAGCGCGGTTCCTGTGACCATTCGAGGGCCACAAAAACTGTCTTCATATTGAAAAGAATAAGTTCACCTGGGGTGAAGCCTCGGATTTATTTTTTCTTTTTTATATTAATGATGCGGAAACTTAATAATTTTAACAAAAACGTCATTTAAATTGCTAAAATAGTCGATATTCAGTCTTCAGTCAGCAGCTAGCTATGGGTAATTATAGAAAAATCTGTTGATAAGTAAAACTATTAAACATTAAAAGTATGTACTTACTATATTTTTAGATAATTTTTCTACCTCACAACAAATCAATTTTATTTGAATTTCATAATTTCGATTAAGTATAAAATATTCATAATAATTTATCGTAATAATTTACCATGCTCGGTTTTTAAATTAAAACATGTTATATAGTCCATATAACTTACCACCAATATAAAATATTATTAATTTGTCTTTAACAACATATTTCGATTGCAATCAATAATAAACATTTAAAGTTCATTGCCAAGGCCGATACAAAGAAAGACTATGTATTTCGAAAAACGCAAAAATATATCCAACTATTTTGCCCCACGCGAAATATCTATAACCAGAGCACAATTCACTGTCGCGTCACGCATGCGCGGTTCTCATAGCACTTGTTACCCTAAATTACATCAACCCCATGCAAAGCAAGTAAAAATAACCATAACACAAACCATACGCACCGTGACGACATTTTCGAGTTTCTTTCGTCCACAGATAATTGAGTGACGGATAGCGCGCTTGACGTAGAAAAGCGCGGCAAGGACGTTGTTTTTTT